CAGCTTCCTAGCCAGCTCTTCATCTGTCCCACAGCTCTCAACTGGTTGGTGCTTTTTGTACAAGAGCTGAACAGGAACATGCTTCTTCAGCTTATTCTTCTTATGGTGTTTATCCTTGCTGCTTGTCTCTTCAGATATAGATGCAACTTTATCCAGGGCACTCTTAGCAGCGGCTACTGCCTTTGCAGCAATGGCAGCCTTTTCCTCAGCAATAGCTCGTGCAGCTTCAGCTGCCTTAGCTGCAGCAGCAGCAGCGGAACCTGCAGCCTCTGCTATCTCCTCAGGAGACATATTAGATCCATTCTTATATGATTTCAACAGATTATTCAGACGAACATCAAATTCACTCAGAGGGCTCGCACTTAATGATGGGCTTGGGGTAGGGCTTGGGATAGGGCTTGGGTTATTTTCTTGCGAGCATTGAGAATTACTCTCTGAACAACTCTGTTTTTTCAACCCAGCTAACAACCTCTTTCGAGGAGGTAGACGAACATCGGCATCTAAATGATTCGTACCACACTCATTGGCATCCATGTGAATTCAATTCCCTTCTAATTCAGCAATCTCTAAATACCGAAAACACGAATTTTCCACATGATGAAACAACTGCCACAACTACATTTATGCTCTGATAACAGCAATAAGACCATCCTTTTACAAATCAATTCAACACAAAACCCTCCTGTACATCTGAATTCACCAAAACAAAAGAAATCCCAAAATGCCAAAAATTAATAAACAGAATGATAATCACTCAAAATTCAGGATCTAAATCTAATTTACTACAACCAACCAACCAATCAAACATAAACATAATTATCAAACAATTTCCAAAGTTCATCAAATTCAAATAAAGGGTTTATTGCTAATCAATGCAATAATCTCTCACACAAAAATCTACCCATTTAATAAAATCACAATAAATTAATCAAAAAAAAATGCTAATCATCAAAACAAACACCTTAATAAATAAAATTACAATAAATTCAAAATGTGAAGTAGAATTTCAATACATGTGATCGAAAGAGCAAAAACCCAGATAAGAATTGTGATCAAAAAACAAAGGTGAAGAAGATTTACCTGATCTTAAGGGGGGGGGGGAAAGTTGAAAAATAAGGAGGAGTTGAAATTAGGGTTTGGGGAAGAGAGAGCAAAGATGGTGAGAAGGGATAAATCCAATTGTAGGGAGAAGGTGATGGTGGAGAAAAAAATGGAAGATCTTATGTATGGACACAAGATACTTGTATTAGGAATTCTCTTTTATGGTATTGGTTCTAATTGTAATTGTTGTAATAAAACCCCAAAATATTATTATTATTATTATTAAAAAAAAAGGGATTATTAAATTAGTGTAATATAATAATGAAAATAATACATACTTTTTTTTTTTTTTTTTTGAAATAATGAAAATAATACATACTTCATATTATACTAATATTTGTATAAAAATATTACATTGTTAAATATTTTATCATTGTTATTTTAGTGTATGGATATGTGATGGCTAGCCCTTGATTTGTTCACCGATTAACTTTGCGATTTTTTTTTATTTTTTTTTTTTTTACTTTGGGTATTATGAAATTATGGATAACATCTTGTCAAAAAAAAATAAAATGGATAATTAGAAACTAATAAAGCTTAGTTAAGCTATCCAAATGGGCAAAAAAAAAAAAAGGATAATATGATAGTTTCATGTTTTAGATTAAGTTTATATGTTCAATTAATTTTGTTTTATTTTTGTATGTATTGAATAGCTAGCAAGTATAAACAATATATGCCTTGTCTTATTATCCACATCCATTTAAATATTATTATTATGATGATAAAGATGTGTGCTTTTTTCAAAATGAAAATACATTTACACACCAAGTAGTAATTTATTGAAAGTATGCTACTTGTAAACAAAAATAATACCAAAGGGTTGTTTGATTGGTTGAAAGTTATGCTCCTTTGTAAGTTTTTTTTATTATTTTTTTAAAAAAAATTTAACAGTGATGTTGGGATAATATTGAATAACACATTAAATTGTATAGTTTTTTTAGAAAATTTAACAAGATTGCACCAATCTTTGTCCCGTTCTCCCAAAATGCACCAACCTTTAACTTTCCCAAAAACACACCTAATTAGTTTGCATTTATTCTCTCAAAATGCACCAACTTTAAATATGCCCAAAATGCATCTAATTAGTTTGCATATATTCTCCCAAAATACACCTAAATGACCGGTGACCTGTATAACAGGTCATTTTTTTAATTTTCCTTTAATTTTTTTTTTAATGTAAAAACTTTAATTATCTTTTTTAAATTAACAAAATAATAAAAAAAAATGAAAATATTTTAAATTCAGTTTTGAGGGTGGGGTTTGGGAAGAAGAAGAGGTTTGGGTTTATAAGGTGGAGGAAAGACGGTGGGGTGGGGTTTTCAGGTAGAGGGGTGACGGTGGGGTGGAGTTTTAGGTGGAGGGGTGGTGGTGGGGTCGGGATTTCAAGTGGTGGCGGTGGGCTGCGTTTTTTGGTGGAGGTGCTAAGGTGGTGACTGAGAGGGGTGGGGTTATTGAGGTCTGGGCTGGCTGGGCTGTCGTGGGTGGGGGTGAGGTCGCCGTTGCCGGGGGTTGGGTTGGGTGCCGGCCGTCGAAAGGGGGAGGGAGGAGAGGGTGGCTGGCAGTGGGGTTTTGTTTTTTTTTTTTTTTATTTCTTTTTTTTTTGTTATTTTTTTTAATTATCAAAATTAAAAAAAAACTTGACCAATGATTTAATGACACATGGATTTTTACCTGGTATAACAGGTAAGGTGACCTGTTGGGTGTATTTTGGGAGAAATGCAAACTTAGGTGCATTTTTGGCAGATTTAAATGTTGGTGCATTTTGGAAGAATGGGGCAAATGTTGGTGCATTCTTTTTAAATTTTCCTAGTTTTTAATAGAAAAAGAGTTATAGTTATCAATTTTGTGTGTGAGATTGGAAAACCTATGCTAGCTATGCATTGTGAAATGCACAATTTACATAGCACACTAATCATAAAAGCATAGTCTTTCACATTAAAAGCGTAAATTATAGTTCACATTAAAAACGTAACCATAAATTCACAATATCAAACACTGCTTTTTGTATTTGAATATAATTAGTTAGACTTTTGCACTATTCTCATTCCAACTTTGAATTGATTTTATATCGTTATTTAAACAACATATACTGCATTAGCATGTATACTGGTCAAATTGTTGCACTTAATCCAATACGTAGAAGGAGCATCATTTAAACTAAACAGTGTATATATATCCATTATTGGAGCAGATGAAAAATTCTTGAAATGAACTAAAATGTAGCCAGACGACTCCTAGGGTTATTATTGTTGTTAGATTTTTTTTTTTTAAAGAGGGGTTATTATTGTTGTTGGGGTTATTGAGATAATTCTAATAAGTACCCATATGACTATGGACTTGTTCTCTTCGTCTGAAATAAGGAGATCTGATATGATTTTAATAAGGTTTGATGTGAACTTTTATTATCTGATGTGGTCTGATTTGATTTAATAATTTGACTAAACTTTGACCGCATTTTAATACTAATATATAAAGAAAAACATTATCAAAATGGATCTTATTAGATTCGTCTAATTATGAACTCTTCAAATATGTAATTTTCATAAAAAATTTTAATGCACAATTAACGATATTTAGCAATAAACTAAGTAAATGATAATTAAAAGTTCTGATCTGATCTGAATTTATTAAGGAATAAGTAATAAGTACCTGAAACAAGTTGAAGTGAACAAGTCCTATATTTGATCTTATGTACAAAGTACAAACATTAGTCAAAGTGATATATATATAGTGCAAAAGTTAAATTAAAGCACTAAAAACCGGAAAGGATTACACAGTATATTTAAAGAAAGATAACAGACGAAGGGGAGAAGATAAAGGGTGGGTTAAGCATGAATAAAGTAGGGGTGGAAAGTTTTAGTAAGTGTTGGAAAAAAATGTACTACTAATCAATTATTTTAAAGCATCTCAAATAGAAAAGTATTGCAATTTAAGCGAGACGGTGAAAGTATAACAAGTACAAAGGTATGAAATACTTATACGAAGTATATATTAATTTTTGTTGAGCAAATACGGAATATCAAAGTGTACATTAGATTCATACATCATGTTTGGTTTTTAAAGTGAATTATAGGTCCAAAAAGATTTGATAAACTCAGTAAAGAATGAGCTTGCCCAGTTTCCATCAATTGTGGAGCCCATATTGAAAAAGTTGTTCATTTAATTTATGGAAATGCCATGTGAGAGAAACTTGTATTTTCAGGTAAGGAATGATTACGGAGTAAAACCATGTTCACTCCACCGTATTTTTGCCGGATTTAAATTATTTTTATTGAATTGAATTTATTTTTGTTGAATTAAAATTAGTTTTGCTAAAAATTAATTATACTTAACTGAAATTATTTTTATGAGTCTCTATTATAATCTTTCATTACAGTTACTGATTTTTACTGTATCGAACTTGTGTTTTACACAAATGAAATAATTTGTACTAAACTGAAATTAAATTTATCGAATACTCGGTATTATTTTTATTAAGGGGAAGTAAACCGAACCTGAGACAAGTATTGCAATTAATTACGTGTAGAAGAGGTAGGAGTACATAATACGGACTTACGGAGGCCTTGTTTAGTTCAACTTATTTTAGAAAAAATAAGTTCAGATCAGAAAAAATAAGTTCGGGTCAGATCAAATTAGAAAAAATAAGTTTAGATCAGATCATAGTTTTATGTGCGGTTTTTTATCACTAAATATCTTTAATTATGTAATGAAAAAAATTATATATTAATAACATACACATCAATACGAATCTTACAAGACCATTTGATATATTTCTTCTTTGTAGATTATCGTACATTCGTACACATAACGTCAAAGTTTGGTCAAATTAGACAATCAGATCAGATCAGATCAAATCAAATTGTATGATCAAATCAAACCATATAAAATCATATCAAATAAGCAAAAATAAGGTGAACTAAAAGACTAATAGAAAATTAGAAACCGACGAACGTAGCTCTTTCCCGCGCGCTCTCTCTCTCTCTCTCTCTCTCAGTTTCCTGTAGAAGCGCACTCCACGTTCTCCATTGAAGCAACTTCTGATATTTCTTTCCTCCATTGAAGGCTTGAACTAGCTTCTCAGGTAACATGTTTCCCTAATATCATTTTCACGATCTAGGGTTTATCGTTAATTTAATTGTCTGTATACTCAATTTAGGGTTCTTCTAAAGTCGATTACTGAACTATTGCTTATATTTAAAAAAGTTATGAAGGATCAAAACGACCGATTTTGTTGCTAGAGAAGAAAATGATGTGAATTTTCGAACCCTATTTGATTATTGAATCAAATTTGCCTTTTAATCTCAGGATGGAACTAAGAAATTGGACCTTTTTTTTTTTTTTTTTTTACCTAAAGTTGTGTGTTTTTTCGAGCCTAATATGATAATTGAATCAAATTTGGCTGTTAATTTGTTGCAGAACCCTTTAATGTTAGTATGGAACTATGAAATTGGACCTTTTTTCGGCAGCTGCCCCTCCTGCCCTTGTTCAGGGACGGGCATGGGCGTGTTCTCTTTTTTCTTATTTTTTCAATAATAAGTCAAGATAAGCTGAGGAGAACATAACTTTAACCATATTGTTCATATTTATGTTAGTTAATGCCCTTTTACGTACCGGAATTTGCTGCTAATTAGTGGAATTTAGAGAACATTTCTCTAACATCAAACAACTAGGATATTATGCATATAATAAATATGAATCATATAGGGAGTTAATAATATCTGTGATTCATGATTTCCACTTGCTTTTAGTATTAACTTTGAAGACAAATAAACCCCAGTGTAATCCGTCTAATTGTATATCAGTCCTATTCAGTAAGTTTATATGTTACAGTAAGTTTATATGTTACATAAACACGGGGAGCAATATATGATTTAGTTCGATATTTGCACAAGATTTGTTTTAGTTGCAACTTTTGTTTTCCCTCAAAGTAATATTCAGTAAACAAATAAAAATTTCAGTTTGGGCAGGCAAACAGATTGGTTTGTTGTGGCATAGTTTGATGGAAACCATCAAGCCTTTGCCAGAGTCTGTTCAAAGTATAGTGCGTTCTGGGTTCATCATCAGCTGCTTTTCAACCGTTGTTGAAGAGCTCATATATAACAGCTTAGATGCTGGTGCAACAAAGGTACATTTTCTTTTTGCTACACAAACAGGAAAATTTGCTGTATGTATTTAGTAAAGCTCCCTCATTTATTGTTATTATATATATATATATATATATATATATTTTTTTTTTTTTAATTTCTTTTCTTTAGTTGATGACTATGATGAGTAAGCATAAATGTGATATTGGATATTTTTAATCATTATAATTCTGTTTTAAGAGATTTAACTGAATTTGACCGTACTCATGAAGAGTGTATAATATTTGGATTTAATCAGTCACTGTATTGTTTCAGGTATCTGTATCTGTAGCTGTTAACAATGGCTACGTTAAAGTAGAAGATGATGGTCTGTAACATTATCTGCTAAGTTATGTCAAAATACTGTACCTAGCTGATCAAAGCACTAAATGCTTCGTATATCGTTTGACCTTGCAGGATCTGGCATTAGCCGGGATGGACTTGTGCTGCTGGGAGAACGCTATGGTAATAGGGAATTCTCTTTGGTTAAATCCATGTCTTATTATTTTGTAGCGTAAGTGCTCCAAACGATGAACCTCTCGACATCTTTGCTACATTGTGTGAATGGTTGGATTTTTGCCGGCCTAGATTATCCGTCTTTTCTTCATGTGAAATCATTAGCAGGAGAAAATCTTTGATGGTTTACTAAGTCATATCTTGTTTTAAATATCAACAAGATGCTATTAAAAATTAGCTAAATGCTTATGTTTCATGTGTTTTATGCACTGAAAAAATCAAGATCCTTCACTACTTTGTGGCACGACTGCAAGACTAAAGCACCTGATTTAACTAGCCAAATTTGTGTTCCCACCAAATTTTATTTTAATATTTTCCAAGATACTTGTTCATTTTGGATATGATGAGATTTATATCCTTTTGTCTTCTGCTTGAAGAGGGGAAGAGAAATTGGGGATGCAAGCAAGTTGTTTAGCTGCACAATTATTTTTTATTTATTTTTTTATTTTTTATGTGCCAGTGTACCTCTAGTGTATTGAAACTATGGGCAGACTCTTCAGAGTTAGGCAAAACTTGAGATGCCATTAACAGATGTTATTTTTGTTCCTTGAAAATCTTGTGTGAATGCATTGTTACCATATGCAGTGACATCAAAACTTCGGCATATTCATGAAAAAGATAATTTAGAAGAAAGCTTTGGGTTTCGTGGAGAGGTTCTGTGCTCAATTGCTGACATTTCTTTAGTAGAAGTTGTAACAAGAGTACAAGGGAGGCCCAATGGCTATCGTAAAGTCATGAAGGCAAGTATGACTTACTGCTTCATGTTTCAGTTTCATAGTGTCTGGATTGATGTGGCATCATCTGATCTATATTCTTGTTCAAAATAACATTTGGGTTTATTCTTCAGGGTCGCAAATGCCTTTGTCTCAGTATTGATAATGATAGACAAGATGCTGGAACAACTGGTAAGTTGGTTCTTTTTATGGTCTTGTTACCGACCTGTCTCTCTTTAAATGTGTGCATATTTTTGGGTTGATACAGTACAGTGCTATTTCAAACTAATGTTGGACTTCCTTGATATCGGGAAGCAATTTATATCTAAATATGCCATGTAACAATTTAAATGAAGCAAAGAGAGGCAAATTATAGTAGGGTGGTCACAAGCTGAACTGTGCTTAATTCCAACAAGGCTGACTCAATTGACAATTCTAAGTTTGGTATTGGGCTCAAGCTCATCTAAAACTACACAATTTACTTTGAGCTTGTGTTGAATGTCAGATTTGGAGTCCATATTCCACTTCAAGTTCAACTCAATAAACATTCTTCAAATAATAAACAAAATAATCTGCTGTTGCTGCTCCCCTCTATGTCTCTATGATGATCTTCGGCTTGGGTAGGTTGTGTGAAGAATATTTTTGTTAATAATAATTATATGAGAAGGCCTCTGTAAATTTGAAACTTATGTCTCTCCATTTAAGAATACATTGCAAGCTCTAATTTTGGTATGGGGCTGTTATCTCCACATCTATGGTATTGACTTCGAATTCGGCTCATTCACAAAAGCCATGCGTTTAGTTGATTTAAATGCAAATTTTTCACGACCATTTATGGTCACCTATAGTTTTAACTCTTGTAAGTTTTGACATAAATAAGGTGGTTATGCCTAAAAACCATCTTCTCAATGTCATGATTGCTTGATCTACAAAGTAACTTACTTTCAATTCCCGTACAGTTTTTTGGTCTTCTTATGTGAAATGGATGTTGCATGTAATTTTCTATTACAGGTGATAGGACAATAAATTGTGATACTATGTCTTCTTCGTGCACACATATTTTCTTCTGTCACTTTCAAGCTGTTGGTAGAAGTTGTCATTGCATTTTCTTTCTCTAATTGAAAGTTTATAATATTCACTTTTTGCAGTCATTGTTCGTGATTTATTTTACAATCAACCTGTTCGGAGAAGACAAATGCAGTGCAGGTATCTTTCATTTTTAGTGATAATAATTACAGATTTAATTTATAGGTACTGTCTGGTGATCTTGGATTTAATAGTATGCTTGTATTGGTGGTGCTTTTGTGCTGTAGTGTCAAGAAAGTTTTGCATTCAGTTAAAAAATGTGCAGTACAGATTGCTCTTGTGCAGCCTAATATTTCTTTCAAAGTCATTGACATGGAGAGGTGCGCCCACTGTAGAATTGTAAGAATTATAATTTTTGGCTAGATATGCTGCAATTTTATCTGATGGTGTCCATATGCAGTGAAGATGAATTGCTTCGCACACGCAGTTGCCCTTCTCCTTTGACACTTTTGTGCAGCAATTTTGGTATTGAATCTTCTAGCTTACATGAGCTGAGTTTTTCTGAAGGCCCATTGAAAATCACGGGATATGTGTCTTCTCTGTCTAGTTCATTCTTGTCAAAGGTGAGTCTATCTGTACCTAAATTTAATTAGTAAAATAAGTAAAGTGTAAACTAACTGGCATGAAAATCTTTGTGTCTGACATATTGATAATGTTTTGCAGGATGTTCAATATATATGTATCCAAAATTTTAAATATAAAAATTGAACTTGACATTTATGTGGTAATTGGAAATTTGAAATGAGCCGATCATCTTTTAAAATCCGTGGGCCTTAACATATGAAGATGTCAACTCTAGGTTTGTGGATAAAGGCCCAATGCATAAACTCCTGAATCATCTGGCGTTTATGTGCCATGACCAGTTGGGAAGTGACAGTTGTGGAAAGAGAAGTCAGCCTCAAGGTCCAGCGTACTGTTTAAACCTAAGCTGCCCACGCTATTCCTATGATCTGAATCTTGAATTTTCAAGAGCTTCTGTAGAATTCAAGGTATCATTTTCTATTGTTTGAGGTGGCATTCTTGTTGTTACTTGTGCAGGCTATTTAGAATATAACTTCTATTCAAAATTGGTGTCTAATTTTTTCTGTTGAAAGGCTTGATGGCTCATGATGCTCTCATTAGAGATAGATTAATGTAGAGGTTTCTGTTTGACATTTATTTATATTGAATGGAAGGAAACATGACTGGATAGTCACATAATCGATAATTCTCCTTCCCAATTTATTTGGTAGTACAGTATTAATGTACTCTCATACTCTGTCTACATTGGGTTAGTTGGAGATGGATTTGAAAGCTATAAACTACTGCTTCTGTTCTTAAGCTTTTGTGCTGATATTTAAAGGATATATGAGGAAACATAACTTAGCTTGATAAGCTCAGCAGTTTCCTCGCTTCTATTGGTATTGTAACATTTACATTGGACTGTGTTTCTAGAGCATGTTTGTTATATATTTGTCTCTCGCTCTCCTATATTTTAACGATATTTGCACGTGCTAGTTACAAGGGAGGAATTATTTTGTCTCTTAAGATGTGATGGGCAGAGAATTAACATTGTAACATAACAGGAAAGTAATTTATCTTGAGCAAAGTAGTTTTTTTTCCTCTCACATCTATTCTTCAAACAAGAATTCTATGCTTCAGCTCTCTGTTTGGGAATGCCCAATGTATTCAATACTTAAATGTTATTCTGGTTAATAAATAATACTAGGATTTTTCCAGGAGTTGAATACAATAATTGCAAGTGTACTTCAATATTCAAATTCTGAAATGTGGGCAGGGGTTTAATTTGAGTTAAGGGTTTTCAAAAACTTAGAATGTTTCCTCTTACCATGAAAGAAGTGAATGCATTCTTTAACTTTATTAATATGAAGTATTAGTTTGATGCTATAATGTGCTCCAATTAAGGTGAATTCAGAGTCAAGGAACTATCTGATTTCAGTCTTTTTGTATACCTTTATTTCGTTCTTTCTTTCTCTTTTTTTTTTCTTCTGTTTTTTTCTTTTTTTTTCCCTTTTCTTTTCCGATTTGCTACTTGCAGTTTTGCTAGTAATATCTTATAAGTGTACAGCCTCTGAAGTGTTAGTATGGTGTTGCAGGATTGGGCTCCTGTACTTGCATTCATTGAAAAATCAGTTATGTCTACGTGGAGTGAGGAAATAAAGAGGGGTAAGATTGTAGTCATTGTACATTACGTTTGTCCAAATTGCTTACCTTTGCCTTAAACTCTTTACTGTCATGTCTTTCTTTCTTTCTTGCCAGGGATTTCTCATAAACATGAAGCTGACCTGATCAGGAAAGATGATAGAAAGAAAGTAGTTGAAACGATTTCTTCTGAAGAAAAAGGTTCTCTGTTCCTATCTGTTGAATAATAGCTGTTTTTTTCAAGACTTCATGCTCTTTCTTGTGCTAATAGCCATTAATAATTATGCAACATCTGCTGCCTAGACAGTGCTCCTCTTCTCACCTGTCCCCATTTGGGGGGGGGGGGGGGGGAGAACAATGCGTATATATACTTTGAAATGATTGTAATAAGCATCTTTTCTGATGCAGATTGGTGGTTGAAGACCTGTGAAATGTCTACAAAGAGACGTAGGATCCAGAACAGTGAGAATCAGCTTGCATGCCCTGAAGATTCATTGGGAATGCAAATAGAAGACTGCGACAACTCGTCTGTTTGGAAGAACAGCTGTAGACAGCACTTGAATCCGGAGAAAATCAATGTGAAATTTAGGGAATCAGACAGAAAGAGAGAGTCTCCTCGTCAAATGAATTTTACTGGAGTAAGTGAATTTGCTCACTCTGACCATATATGTGATGTAACAGACAGTATCGGCAGTGATCTTTTGGGGCCTGATAAGGAACTGGTGGATAGAGATTTTTTGAGGAATGATGTTACTTCTATGGAAAAAGAAGCCAGTTATGCAAACATTAATCTCTTTAATTCAAGATGGAAGGATGAAGTCAGTGTAGATAGTTCAGTTGCTTGGAACCTTGAAAAAGGAAGCGCTTGGAGTTTTGAGTTCATGCCGGAGCATGACGAGAATAGAGCTAATGATGATCAGAGGGAGTTGCTTTTGCAAAGTTACCCATGGGAAAATCCAACTCAAGCCCCTCTGAACTGTGATAAGGAGTCCCAGTTTCAGACTGATAATTTCAAGGCTAGCAGAAGCTGTAACAATTCTCATGGCAATGAAGATGCTGATAGTCTTAGTCATAACTTCGATATTCATCAAAGAGCTCAGTGTCATATTGGGGTAGCAAATACTCGGCCACTCCCTAAATCCGATATAGGAAGTCTTACAAGGAAGGATCTTGACCTTGATCATATGGAATATGACAATTTATTATCATCTTGTGGAGGATCTTTTATCAGAGAATACCCTTTAGAGTCTCCAAGTAAACCAGGCGCAGTGCTCTTCCCCTGCTCGTCAAAAAACTTGGGTCTGCAATCTGCAAGTACACATCCTTTCATTAAAGTAAAAGATTGGGATTTTGACAATATTACTCAGTATGAAGATTTTGAGAGGAAACCTGGAGTAACAAAAAGTGTTGATTTTGAGCAGTCAAATTATGAAAAAGAGGAATTTTGTGAATCTGGCCTTGGTGATAGGTTTTGCAACACGAATTTCACTTCTATGCATCATTTGACTTCAACATCTCTGTTTACAAATGAATATGCAGGAGTTGAAAATGGCATGTGTGAATATTTTTCACTTGGGCATAGTGTTGATGATTCCTTGTTTAAATACATGTATTCACCATCTCCGGACAGAAAGTATAGAGACTCGTCAATCTGCTGGAGTCCATTTATATCCTCCATCAAAGGAAACCAAATGGACCTGCAAAAATGTCAAGAGTTTGGGCAGGACTATCCTAGAGAAAGATCAGGGAGGGGCTATGACAGTTCTGATGGCCTTAAATGTAACTCTATGGTAACAGATGAGACATTTTCTCCATGTCTGGATTTTCAAAACAAATTAAGTTCATATAAACCATCAGTGTGTTTTTCATCCTTATCTGATGGTAAAGGTCACAAAAGTTATCATCCAAGACGTGAAAATTTAGAACAAAATCATAGCTCATTGGCATCAGGAAGCTCTGTGAGATTTAGAAGAAGCAGATTTAGAAGAAGCCATTCCGCTCCTCCATTTTTTAGGGGCAAGAAGAGATTTCTCTCAGTAAAGAATTCTATGATTTCTACAACTAAAAATTCTGGTTCGCAGAGAGCTCCTGAAGTTTGCACTGTCCCAGGTTTTGCAATTCATAGATATGGCTTCTGTAGATTCTAGGTTTATGAAAGTGTTAAGTTTAGATGAACTGAGATCAAATCTTTGTTGACGTGCAGAAAAAGCCAAGTTGAAGCACCCTCTTCTACCAGCACCATCTTCTAGGTTAAATTTCCAGTATGATGGGATGAAATTTAGGGAAGATTCCCAGTCCTTTGTCGAGTATGTGTAATATTTCTGACTTCCCGTTATGTTGTTAACATTCATGCTCATATTAGTCAAATATTAATACCCCCTTTCTTTCACCATTTTTTTTTTCTTTTTCCAGACAAGAGGTGAAGGAAACCTCAAATATCACACAAGCCAGTGCTTGGTCACTAGATGGAAACACAGAGGATGCCTGTTTCAGCAGTGGTATATGTTTTTTACAAATAAATTTATTTTTTACTTGTTGGTATAGGCACCCCTTTTCATTTGAAGGATGGTTAAGAATTCTTTTCCCTCTTTTTTTTTTTTTTTTTAAATTTTTTTTTTTTATTTTTATAAATGCATCACTTGCTACATTTGGGTGTTGCATCACTTCTTTAATTCTTTTTGTGGTACCTATATACCGTATTTTATTATTTCTCTCTCTTCCCTAAAACCCACTCAAAATATTTTATCATTTTTCTCTCTTTCATGGTCCCTGCTTAAATGATTAAAAAAAACTACTCTCTCTCTCTCTCTCTCTCTCTCTCTCTCTCTCTCTCTCTCGGTTCACATTGTACTTTAAATAAAATTAACTAATCATCTCTTTGCCCCATTTGCACGATATAATACTAAAGCAAATAAGCTCTCCTAAACTCCGTGTAAATGCTAGTGATGCATTTATAAAAAACCGAGGGAGTACATGATTGGAGCACTGTTTCTCTTGCCTTAACTATCTATTGCACATACAAAATATTACCTCAAGTAGCCAATCATTGAAGAGACAATGTTAGAATGAATGTAACATGTAGAAAAATTAGGTTCATTCCCCTTTGACAAAAGATCCACACCCAACTTCCAAACTAGCTTGAAGAAATTGGGTTTGGGATATTCCTGAACAGTAATGTGAAACTTACTTCTTGGGACTAAGGGAGACTAATGAGTATTAGTTTTACAGAGGATAAGGGGTGCTTTATTTATATGAAAAATCAACATAAATTTTAGCTGTAGAGTTCCTTTTGATGAGATCAAATAGCTTAGTCTTTTGAGACTTTTGAAATTAGGCTCCCCTTCTGATTTCCATCGGTGATGGGCTCTAATTGCAGTAATGAATTATATGATAGATTTGCGCTTCTGCATTCATGTGGTAAACAACCTGACAAATAATAATTTGCATTCATTGGATTATAGGAGCAAAGTTGTGAAACCCTTTCTTTTTTGGAGCAATGCTTCTTAAATCTGTGTATCATATGCACCTGTTTACGAAATGATGAGGAAGATGTGGGTATTGTCTTCTGGCTTTTCATTTTTGATTGATTAAGTCAGTGACAAGACTTAGACTTAGCTTTAGTACTATTTATTTGATTCACAAGAGCAGGAAAAGCCATAACTAGTGCTATAATTCTTACTTGTCATTCCAACCACTAAATTAGTGCTATAATTCTTTGCCATGTTTAAATTTGGAAAGCTCAATATCTGAATGCTGTAGGCTGCTTTAAGGACTTTCGGGATTCTGAAACGTCAAATTTCAAGTGGCGAGAAGGCTGTCCAGATCCTAGATTAAAGGAGGTTGCTAATAATCTAAGAGTAAGTTAATCAGAAATTATAAGCTATCTTGAACTGCAAATATTTTAAACGGTTTCTAAGTACCATTTTATTTATTTATTTATTTATTTATTTATTTTTTTATATATATAAATTGCTGATACAGGCTGGAAATAGGTTAATTGACCTTAAAGCTGAAAGTGATATACTGGATGTTCAGTCTTGTATGCTTGATCTTGCTGGTGATTTATTAGTTCCAAAATCTATCAATAGAATTGGCTTGCAGAATGCCAAGGTGCTTGTGCAGATTGATAGTAAATTCATTCCAGTTGTGGCAAATGGAACTTTAGCAGTAATTGACCAGGTCTGCACTTATGCTGGTTGTTTCTTTACATATTTTATGCGAGGATGGAACCCGCTTGTGTTTGAATACTTTGTTTAGAAATTGATTTGCTGCGTTATTTTAATGTGATAACTTTGTTTTGCACATCATTGCCTTGAAGCATATGATTGGATCCGACCTAATGATGACCTCTTTTTCAGCATGCTGCAGATGAAAGAATTCGACTTGAAGAAATGCGTCGCAAGGTATTGTTGCAGACTATTTTTTGCCTTTTTGTGGGGGTGGGAGTGGGAGTGGGAGGGAGGGGTGTCGTGTGGTATTGAAGTTTTGAAGACATTATATGCTTATAGCTAAATGGCTGGTCTCAGGTGCTTTCCGGTGAATTGAAGTCAATAAACTATCTGGAAAAAGAGAAAGACTTGGTATGATGGAAACTCTGCTGGAGAGGGGTAGTGAATGGTGGCACCTCTCTTTATATACATCTTAAAATCTTAATTTTACAGAAGCTTTCATTGTAGGTTTTGCCTGAAATGGCCTACCAGTTACTGTGCAATTACGCGGAGCACATAAAGCATTGGGGATGGATATGTAACATTTTCTCTCAGGATTCTGGATCATTCACTAAGTAATTTTTCTGCTTTAAATGCTTCTTTTTATCCCAATTCTTGCGCTTATACTCATATATTCATGCATGCCAGCATGTGCACTGAAATGAAGTTATCAGTGATTGCTTTAGTCTTAAAGGACAAGCATGCACAGTAATCTGCAGACACACATACATGCCCAGCAGAGTCACACGCGCATATTCATGCATACATAGGACATACACCTCATACAGGAGACATAACGCAGCAAGTTTGCTCATACTCGAGTGACTAAGGCTTTTACTTCTAGATCTGTAAAGTTTAGATATATCTTTCAGGCTGCTGTAAAATTTTAGAACAGAGATATAGGTTCAAGGTTGCAAACAAACTTTGGGGAGGAGAGAGAGAGGGAGGAGGGAGGGGGGGGGGGGAAGGGGAGGGTTTTTGTAAAGAAGCAAAATATGAATTAAAGTCCTACTTATTTAGGAAAGAGTTGTGCTTGGAACAGTAAAACACACTAGAATCTCAGTTTCTCTATTAGAATCTTGTTAACTATTTTTCAATCTAAAATTTCCTCATTATGCTCTCAGTCATTGACTATTCCAAATTACAACAAAATACAGTCAATATATTCTCACTGCAAAATACTTTTGGTGCTGTACTTATCCAATTTTGCAGGAATCTGAGCCTTCTAAATGAGCGGGCATCTAATCTCACACTTATTGCGGTAATCATACTAACCCCTCCGCTAGCTATTCTTGACTTCCAATAGAAGAACAGCACCTAAAGTTTCTTTTATTGTCGAAATCCAATTTAAAGAGTGCTTGATATACATTTAGTAGAGGAAGTTGCTTCTGGTGCTTTCTAATCTGTGATCTCTTTTTTCCCTTGAGACATAGAGACTATGTTATTTGTCAATTCTGATATATTTGTTGGTGTTTAGGTACCATGTATTTTGGGTGTAAACTTGTCTGATAAAGATTTAGTGGAATTTCTTGAACAAGTAAGTCTGACCTCAATTTTTAAGCTAGCTATATCCATCTATTAGGTCAATGAATGTTTTCTCCAAGATAATTTATCTTTTCTCCGTTTTATACATTTGCAACAGCTTGCTGATACTGATGGATCATCAATCATTCCACCATCTGTAGTTCGAATCTTAAACTACAAAGCATGCAGGGGTATAATCTTAATCTTTGTGTAACTCCCTCTTTTGTTTTCTCTTTTGCAGCACTGCATTATGAATTTATGACTTGATTATTTCTTACATGAATTCTATTCTGGATTTGAAAAGTTTTGTATGCTTCTGTTTGCCTTTTCTATGCCGGGCTGAAATTGGATAGAAAGTCATGTCTTTTATGCTGTCCACCTTGCAAGTTCTGATTGGAACCTGGCTTATGTTTTATGGAAGTCCTGAATGATTTACTTCAATTTATACTTCCTCTGGGTTTTTTTTTTGTTTTTTTTTTTGTTTTTTTTTTACGCGTTTTGACTTTTGACACTATTCACAAAATTTACTTAGACTCGCTTTTGTGATTTATAGCTATGATTAAACATGGTTATGTGGAATCTTGTTTGAATCGTCTCTATGTAAATTCTATTAATATTAACTTAGAATTTTTACATGTTGATATTTAGAGATATTAATTGTTAAAATCATGCGTTGACAAACATGATATAAAAATGTGTCAACTAAAAAAACAGAGTAAGTATATTATACCGCGGAGGTTGGCTATTAGCTTAGAACGAGGAAATTGATTAGAAAGGAATCTCAGCTCTTCCCACGCCCATCTTAGTCTGATTACTTGACTCATACAAGTTCCTTTTACTTGGAATTTGTGATTGGGCTGCTCCGTGCTGCCAATATTCTTTATCAACATTATATTATTTTTATCCTGAAGGTGCTATTATGTTTGGGGACAAACTCATGCCATCCGAATGTTCCCTCATCGTTGAAGAGCTTAAGCAAAAATCATTATGTTTTCAAGTAAGCTTCAAAACCATGGGAAATCTCTTCTCTCTAGGTAGTGTAATGTAGATTGAGCCCGAGTTTGTCTTGACAGTTTTATTTTGTAGTGTGCTCATGGAAGGCCAACAACAGTGCCTCTGGTGAATCTGAAGGCATTACACAAGGGGATTCTACAGCTTGGATCCTGGCATGACCATTCTAAGAATACATGGCATGGACTCTGCAGGGAAGCGATTAATCTTGATCGTGCCAAACGTAGACTTGATATGGTAAGAGGCTGTGACTGAAAAATTGAGCTTGCTGATGTACAAATTGTACAATGGTGGTGGTATAAGGGTTTTCTTTATCGTCTTCACACATTTTTGTTCTCTAATAGTTTTTTTTGCATTTTCTTTTGTAATTTTTTTTTAAAAAAAAATGTTCTTTGGCGAGTAGAGCAATAATAGCTGAGTACTTCCTTTGTATATATGGAGAGAGTATATCGTTCATTCGTTATTTCAAACCTGTATATGATGTAATAATGTGGCCATTCATTGATGGTACAACAATTAAAGAATAAAGGATGAGGATAGAATACATCAAACATCTCTCTCTCTCTCTCTCTCTCTCATTGAATGCAGAACGGGAAGTGCATATATTACAAGGAGGAGAAAACGATTCCTTGGATAAAAGGTTTGTTACAGCATAAAGTATTAACTAATCACTACAAGTACTAAATAGATAGGAACTGCAGTCCCAATTAGTTACAAAAGTAAGCAGAAAGGAAGACTAATAGCCGCTAACAGGAAAATTTGTGACCATGAGCCACCGATGAGGACTTAACTGGAAGCCGCAGCTGCAGCTAGAAGGAACCCCAAGCCCACATCTTCTATTCTTCATCAACAAGCATTTGTTTGTAGTGGCAATAGTAACGATACTGTATTACTTTGTATATATAATTCCAAGATGCAGCAATTTGCCGTTCAATTTCTCACAGTAGAATAACTTTTGCTGTTTGGGAGGCCTTTCTGAATGTTGGCAACTTCTCAGAAAATTCTGCCAATTGTTCTGACGTCAGCATTGCCGAGTATTCATTGCTGGCCTTGTAGTAGATCATCATTTCATCTAACGCTGGTGAACTCCTGAGCAGAATCTCAACCAAGTGAACGACAGGATACAAACTCATTGAAATGTTGTGAATGACAATGGTTTTAAGAGAGCTCCAGCAGTACTCCTCTTCCTTACCCGGGTTGCAACTTTCGAGTTCTGACTCTACTTCCTGCAATGAAGGAATGTGCTATTTAAAAAAAAAAAAAAAAAAAAAAAAAGTGGTATTAAGATTTAAGGGAAGCTAGAGTTATTGAAAAGGAAAAATTATGTCACACCTTGACTAAATCACATGATGGGACGACATTTAAGACAAGTTCCTCCAAGTTAGGTGATTTCGTTAACAAATGACAAAGAGCAAAGATGTGCTTATCAGTCAAACTAATTTTTAGATCCACTCTCTTCCACTGAACAATTTCCTGAAGACTGCATTTTAGCATGCAATAGAACAACACCTAAAAAAGTCACCAAAATAACAGAAGATATCATTAGGAAATACAGTATAAGAAACAGAAATGAACTGAGAGTATTCAATACCGTGACAAATGTATCTGATATAGATACATTCTTGACATGCAGAACTTTGGTTAGAACAGATTGAAACCGGGTGAACTCGTTGAATCTTGTTGCAAAAGCGTTCCACGTTATAACAAAGGAAAATTCAGCAAGAGAGGAAAGGTTTACAATCTCCAGTCCTTCCACACATCCACTGTAGTTAAACGATGACAATTTTGGGCAATTGATTTTCATAATTTGCTCTGAATCAGCACCTATCTCTCTATCAAGCTTCAATATGTCTAAATTTGGGGCATTGATTTCAGTGAAATCCCAAGGGTCAAAACAGTTAGATATCTCAAGTTCTTTGAGCAAAGGACAACCTTGAATGATTTCTTTGAAAACATCATCATTTAGACTCATATAATCAAGCTTCAGAACTCTAAGTGATCCCATTTTTACTCGCTTCTGAAGTTTCATTTCAATGAACACCAGCTTCAGCTCGACCAGAGAATCACTAATGAACTCTATGAAAGGCAACTTATAGACCTCATTAACAGGTTCAACCATTCCGAACCCAAATTCTAGGAACTTGACTTGTTTCCTTAGGGCGAAAGTTAACCAAGAATCTATTTCACATCCCCAATTCTCAGATTGGAAAGATGGTATTTCTTCATATAACATGGTCGAAATGTTAACTCTGAACCTGTCGACTGTAGGCCTTTGATGGAGCTTTAGCGCATTGTGGACAAACCTAAAGAACCCTGAATTTATATCCTCGTTTGCCCATAAGTGAGAGAGCAAGGCATCATCAAAATCGATATTTTGAAGGAAAGTCCAAAGGGTGCCAAATCTCCGAATTAGGACAGTTTGGACAGCTTCATTTGTAGGAAGAAAAGACAGGATGTGGCAAAGAAGTGAGTCAGGCAATGCACTAAGCCTGTCCTCGAGTTTAGTTTGTTTACAAGTCATGGGTTGAGAATGAAAGATATAACGTTGCAATGAAATACTTTATTGTGGTGATTGTGAGTGCTACGGAAGAAAGAAAAGAAATTTATAGATTCTACTCGTATCTTCTCCTTCCTGTGCAAGCTAAAGGGTTGGAATAAACTAAAGTGTACTGAAGAAGTTTTCGACGTCGTAGATCACTTTGCTTGACTTGTTGTAGATCACTTTCCTTGACTTAGCTTGTTCATACTAACTGCACCTACTTCTTGACTAGTCATAATCTTTGTTACAGATCAACCCTCCATCCGACAATATAGTGTCCCCGTCTCATTATATAGTGTCCGATTAACATGGGAAAATTCATCTCACGGTACACTTAAGCTAAAAATTGTTTAGATATACCATGAGAAGAGAACTTTTTTCCCAACTATTTCCCTTTATTTAAAAAAAAATTGAAAATCTTGCTAGTTTTAACGAATTACAGATGACCAAAAGCTCTATTAAACAAAATTAACTTGCAAAGAATGCAACATTTGTTCAATCCTAGAAATTTATCATTCCACAGTAAAATAGTAAAAAAAAAAAAAAAAAAAAAAAAAAAAAAAAAAAAAAAAAAAAACCTCCTGTCATTCTAAACATTTGGATTGAGAATATATCACTATACTACAACTTTCAACACTCAATTAATCAGGGAGTATCGTTCTCGATATAAAGAATAGATGGATTATTCAAAGAATATATCACTAAGCTGTCTCATCCCATTTATAATTTGCTAAGCACCTCAAGATGTAGTTTCGATACAAAACTCAACAGGCTAACATCAACTTTGCTAGAATTGATCTGGGTGTCATTTGACATCTCCGTATGCAGCTAGCGCTTGGGTTTGATTTCCTTTCCAAAGCTTAAGATTCTCTTGTAAAACTGGAAACGACTCCCAAAGTTTTATTAGTCAAAATTTGCAGAGGGAAATGGCAAATGGGGAGGGGAGCAGTCCTCCTATCTGCTACCTCCTATGGCTCTATGAAAGGGTAACATTTCGATGGTTCTCCAAGGGTTCTCCAACCAGCTTGGCACCCTCCCCTGCAGCCCCACAACCTAAGTAGCCTTAGATTGTAGAATTCATTGGCACACAGACCTATATGATTTCACATGTCAAACCTTACAAAAAATTCAGCCCTAGGAGTCTGATTTTGTCTCTAAGCTGTCACTGGAATCTGTAGTAGCACAAAGTGCCTTCCAAATTGGCAGCAACATCTTAAGCGGGGGTCGCAATGTCTGGCAAAAAGAGCAACAATCAGTGGCACACAAGAAACAATATTACATGCACAGACAGCATTCAGAGATCATTAAAGCTAAATAATGAGCAAGAAGCCAGATATAACATACCTTAAAGACGAGCATCAATTCATCTTCTTCACGTAAAAGTAATGCCAAACTCCAATAACAAGTCACTGGAGTCACACATTCATTCAGAATAGGCTTCAATATTTTGTCAATTGGGACAAAGCAACGGACAGCTCTCCTACTATGAGCAAAAACAGGAAAAGAAAATATGAACATTTATAAAAGACAAAAGAAGGTAAAGTTCAAGCTAGACAAGATTCAGCCAAAAATGTTAACAGCTACACCATAAGATACTGTGAACTGCAATAAGTTTTTGCACAAAAACAACATAACGAACCATCACTACCACCTCTAATTTCTATTTGAAAACTTAAGAAAAATGTTGACATATGAGTAGACCAAGTGTCAAAATGTGTGAGAAACCTATATTATGTATTCTATTTTACAAATATTCATAAAATAAATAAATGGCATATGAGAATGCAATGAGATAAGGAATCCATGATATCATAATAGTTTCCAGGAATATGAATCATCCTATGTTTTAATGTTATTTTATTGTAAAACGGAGCAATAACAAAAACTGGAAAATTTTATCTATTCCGGAAGATGGCTAGGAGTCTAGGACTATCCTCAATAATACAGATTTAGGCAGAGATCTAGTCTAAGCTGCACATTGCATAGTTTTTTCATTCACGTGCCCTCTGCTAGGCTTTTGGGACTAAGGCTTTGTTGTTGTTGTTTGTGCCCTCTGCTAGGCTGACAAGCTTATACTATCTCACTACCATGCAAAGTGTTGTCCAATAACAGGAAAACAAAAGATGAACTAACATCATTCCACTCTAAATTCTGTATGCACTTCATCAAAATAAAGATTAAATCCTAGACATTTTCAAGACCTCATCCTTCTAACATAATGTCACGTTATAGACAACTTCATTCAATCAGTGTAATTCAGGAAAAGTACCTTCTATAATGGGTTTCAAGTTGGACTCCAAACGATGGAATGATCACAACAGACTCTGTCAAATATGAAATGGAAGTTAGAAGAATAGTTACTCTTTAAAAACCTGCTAATTACAGAAAATTTCCTTCCAGAACTTCAGACATCAGATAGAAGCAGCATTCTCTAAAACAACTTTATTTTTCTTTTCAGGATTCATCTACCCAACACAAGTAACAGGCAGCATTTCAAAGAAGAAGAACAACAAAATTCATATTCCTCCTATCAATATGTCAAGTCCCTTCAACAAATGAAACTCGTCTAGTATTTCGAGCAAACATATCAATCCCAAATGGGATCATACCCTTTAAGAGTGCACTTTACAGAAAGAAACCAAACAAAAATAAAATCGAGTGCATCCTCAGTTCACTCACCTTTCTCAACAATATTTTTACGCAATAATCTGAACACAACGACACCAGTAATCAAGTGCAAAAGAAGAACAGAAACAAGCATATCCTGCAACAAAACCGGAAATCGATTCAAAATCTTTAATTACAGTCCAATCTTAGTCCAACATAGACTAAAAATTGCACAACAAGGTGACAATTAAAGAAACACGAAGCGATGTAGCTCGAAAATTACACCAACATACCTGTGCTATTATAAGATACAAGGCATTTAACAGTAAAACAACAGCTGAGAAGCAAGCAAGCATAATCCATCGACGGTTTTTCCTGATAATTACATGATGAACATCAATTGTTTGTGAAGGCCATTTTCCAGCCTCATGTATGTACATGTATTTTGAATTGACAATGCGTTTCTCAGCCATTGCAAAAGTCTGTAAATTATTCAATACTTCATCAATTTATTCCAGAAAATCAGCAAATTCAAAATCTGAACACGAATATTACATAGAAATTGAATAATCTATCAATCAAATTGATTATGAGTCAATTAAATAGCTCGATTAGTATGAAAATTTCGACCTAATTTTGTTAATTTCTGGATTCATACATCAGATGATATTGAAATGAACCAATTGAAAATTAGAATAAAAATTGAGTAATGAATTTCATACCTAAAGATTGAAATTCGCCGGAGATTAGAGAATCACTTTACTCTCTTTTAACAAATCTTGACGATAAAGAAGCCAACGGAGGTGGATGGCGAGGCGGAGGTGCCTGAGTAGTTCTGCGGACGACGGCACCACCGAGAGCCACCGTTACTACCTAGTTCGGAGAAGCACACTTGATATACAGGTTATTTTAACTCTCTTAGATCCTCTCAGGCTCTCAGTAGTGCAAAAAGGTGGATTGTTTTGCATGAATGAGATGGTTTCGAGCATCAAATATGTCTCGCGAGGTCTATGGGATCATGGAAAGCACCTCAATGTCTAACCTTATTGGGTTTAAAAGTCTTATCGGACGCTAAATTTAAGGCTACTACGTATAATACATTCGGTGTCAAAAACTCATGTTATGGTAAGAGATAAATCGTAAGGTTATGCGACGTTGTTTGGAACTACATTATGGCCACAGAAAGGCACAAGGTGACATTGAGTTATTGAAAAGAACCATTTATGTAATCAACTAAATTGATGGGTAAGAGGTAAAGTGGATGGTTTCAAGTTTCAACCACCGAAATCGCCTTCAGCGCTCTCATGGGTTTTATGGAAAATTCCTCGTCTTCTTTCTTTTTCAAGCTAGAATATTTTAAATTGTCTAAAATTGAAAATTATATAATTTATGCTTTCGAATTGAATGGATGTGAAAAGTGTTCCATTAGGATCATAAAAGTTGGTTTGGAATTACAATATTCATATAACTATCACTACTAAAAATATTGAAAATACCTATACAATAAATCAAAATCAATCCCGTGACTTTAAAAAAAAGTTCCAAACCAATTTTTATGACTACTAACTCCCTAAGGACAACCCCAATCACCACATACTTCAATTTTTATAAAAAAATCCCGAAGTTGGTTTGAGAGTGTGGATTATGGTGTTCAATATTGGAAATTTTCAACTTTTCCAAGCCTAAAAGAAAAAGAGGATGAGATGCTTCTCACAGATCACCACGGGATTTGCCACTTAACTATCAATAAAGCAAGTTATGTACACATCTCCCTCCATTAACTCAAGACCACCACAGACCTTTATGTGATCGATCAATCAATAATCGTATATGATTTCAAACAACAATATAGAAAAGTGTGTCAATGAAGGGTGCATGTAATAACCTGTGGCACCAACCAGAGTCCACAAAATAGTCTCCTTCTATAATTAGTTGATTACATACCCATATAATTATTTACAAGAAAAAAAATTATAGTGCAGCACTAAAAGCTGTGTATGAAAAACTCTAACTAGAATTATTACTTTGCACTTACTAATCATTTATATGAACACCAAAAGATAAGAGGAAGCGAGTAATTAAACAACATACTATAAGAAAATGATTTGGGAAGAAACAAAGCAAATCCATTGCATTAAAAACTAGCATGGGAGTACAAATATATAAATCCCATGCATAAGATAGACACAAGCCACACCACTCTCCACTTCTCCAGTTAGCGGGGAGTTCTTAAAATTGAAAAGTTGTCATAAATCCGCCAAGGAAATATACAGTTCTAATTTATCAGACTTCAAATACTGAAGCTAAATCCATTAACATTTTCACACACACAAAGTTTGATCAGCTGTATCATTACAGACTTCAGAAGAGCAACCGTGAACTATCAGGGCGTTGTTCCAAAGGTTCCAATTACTTTCTGAGGGGTGTCACTACTGCTACCTAGCTCAGTAATCTCGGCTAGAGACCCGGCTTGGCTTCAAACTGCAAACATGGTTTTTTCCATGAAAAATAAATACTCTGGTATATAATAACAAGGACGAAGGATAAAAGTCAGCCAGTCATGTTGTAGTCCTCTGTTGTCTGATAAGAGTTGTAACTACCGGGCACTTCAATCTTACCAATCAAGTCATCAATTCCTGTATTTACAAAAACAGAAATTCATAATCAGTTTTTACAAGTACTTTGTCATAACTAATAGCAACAAATTCCTCAAAATGCAAGTGTATGAGGTAATATGTGGCCATAAGTTTGTATACTGCTCTTGCCATGTTAATTTCAGGAAAGCATATGCAACAATGTAAGAGTTTGGCACTAAAAGTTCTCATACACAAACTCCAGAACTCTGCCATCAATGAACTAACATCAACCTATCCAATTTATCTAACAGGCTTGCTACAAATGAGGTATTGGCATACAAGATAACTGATAGCCAAATGAAAATTCAACAGTGAAGGCACAAGCAATAGCAGCAAACGGGATTACTGGAACCAAGATGGTCTTAAAAGGCCAAAATGAATCAGATTGAAGCAAACATGGGGAAGATAACAACTCTTTCACAATCCCAAGGGCCACTTGAATTTTTTCCAATTTTCCGCTGAGATTATACCAATATACTATGTCGTTTCAACATCAGAATCCTATCTTCTTTCAGACAGACGGTTTTTTTTGATGCAACTTTCAGACAGACGGTGAATAGGAAACCAGAGTACTTTCCCCATACAGATATATAAAGAACTATTGCAATAATTAGCCAATTAAAAAAAGAGCATGATATTACTAAGCAGCAATATTCTGCCAGGGAAAGAAGCAGACACGAAAATATTTGTCTCGACTTCCCTCAAAGAAGCCAGCTGTTAGCTGTGGTCAAATTTCTGAACTAAACAAGAAGATCAACAAGAGAAGCAAAATTGAAGCTAAGTCAAAAAGAATTTATTAAAGTGAAGCAACATTCGGTTTAAATGAATATTGAAAGTTTGAGACTGAGGGAAAAAATAATTCTAAACAACCCAATGCCAATTATACAATAATCCTAAACACAATAGAAAGACTGAAGCACAAGGTCTCAAATCTGTGAGTCAAGATACTCAAGATCATTGCTTAAATGTAAGGCACACCTACTTCCTGAAATCTCAAGTAAGATAACAGAACTGACAATACACATCATCTTAAACAAAAGAAAAGCAGTACAGTAATATACTTAGCCAACATAAAGTTGATTTCAGCTCATTAATTCCTTCTACATTTTTTATTCTTAACAACAGAAAGGAAGGAGCAAAAAGTGAATTTTATAAACAAGCAGAGGGTGGGGTTGAGAAATTATTGAACATATATAGCATTCACGTAACTACATACTTGGATTCTGCATAATGCTTTCATAGAAACCTAGGTGGCTGAGACTCTGGCTCGATTTTGAACTGCCATCAGAAGCAAACACAGAATCCATTTTGCCAGACTGTGAATCGATTGTGTGCATACTAGAACTTATCTCCTGATTCTGAAAACAAGAATCATCAGTCCTCAGCATCGAGTTAGGCTGAGATTGGAAATCCTCAGGCTTTGTCTTTTTGTCTTTGGGTGATTCTGCATCTGTCTCCACCTCTGATTCAGCATTGTTTTGTGCATTATTGTTTAGCTGCTTTCTTTTTGATCTAGCACGCCTGTTTTGGAACCAATTATAGACATTTGTTTCGGAGATTTGTCCATGCTGAGACAATTCAATAGTAATTTCTTTGATCTTCTGTTTGCTTGGAGTTCCTGTGCCTTGGTCAAAGATGCGCTCAAGGATCTGAAGTTGCACCGGTGTTGGAGTCCATCGTTGCCTAGCAGTAATTTTGTGCCCCATAGCTGTGACCAATGGATCACAGTACATATTTCCTAGCCTAACTCCTGTATTATCATTAACAAAAAATGTATCATGAAGATATGTAATTAAGGACACAATCAGCCAAACCAGCAACTCAACCAAACTTCTAATGCTAAGTCAGTCAACCTCTTCAACAGAAATCTGATTTCTCAATTGAAGGACTCAATAGTACTAGTACATTTTACAATATCGATAACAATTTAATTCAATTCACAAAGTACAAACATACCATTACATTTATCACATGTACACAATCTCTGGACAAGTAAAACATTCCCACACCAAATTCACACTCTCCTTGTCAAACTACCCCGTCACTCGTCCTGATATAGTCGTCACATTATTGGATCAAATTAATTACCATATCAACGCGACTATTAATTCTAGAAGAAGGATATTACAGAGATGTTGTACAGAGATCACATGAAATGAAGGAGATAACTAGAATTTTCAACATGATCAATTTCTGCTTTTCACTGACAACTGACAAGAATAACACCTAACCAAATTACTATAAAATCACAGCAGAAAAATCCAAAATTAAAACTTGATTTAAATGCATATTGCCAGACTCAAACCCAATGAAATTAAAAACCCAGAAAAACAAAAAGTCAAAAACCCAGAATTTGTAGTGAATAATCAATAAAATTAATTAAAAAAATACCCAGTTCAATAAATGAAGTAAACCGATGAAATTAATTAATCAAATAAAAACAGAAGAGAGAGAAAAAAAAAAAAAAAACCAGCAAGATCTTGTTGCGCAGTAATGGCTTTATGCATATCAACAAGCTGCTCACAAATTGTAGCATAAACCGCAATTTGAGTCCGAAGAATTTCAAGCTGTTCATCAGTCATTACTTTGACATACAAAACCCCATTAATCCCACCATTATTACTCGCATTTCCGTCAACTCCGCCATTGATCAACCCATTTCCGGCGTCGTGCGGCGGCAATTGCGGCGGAATTTGCTGGGGATCCATCATTTTTTTCACACAATTTTCCAGTAGAGTAGTAGCAGTGGTAGGAGGAAGACGAGTTGAATTGGGAAAAACTCGTTTTCTTTAACTTTTTTTTTTCTCTCTCCTCAAAAAAAGACAAAAAGGAAAGAGGAGAAAAGGGGGGATTTAGAATTATTTTTTAAAGGGGATAATAATTAAATAAAGAAAGAAAAGATTTGGAATTTGTTTATACTTTGTACATTTCTACTATTTCTGGGTTTGCTGCGTATTACACACTATATAGTGGTAGAAGAAGAGGAGAGGATGTATATTATGAGAATGAGGGATCGTGTTCGCATGTGGTTAACTTAAAACGGGCATCGAGGTCAGGGTGCAGCTTTTGTCCGTTTCTCGAGAGATTTTGTTCTTCTCAAATCGGCTTGACAATGCTGATTCGTATCCGAATTATTCTATTCAATATTGTATAATGTATTCATTTTATTAGATGTGTAATTTAGTAAATTATATCTGTTTTTATTTTAAATATGAGTTCGACCTTATTCAAATGAGAGTAAAAAAAAAAAAAAAAAGTGCCTGATTTTAGACTTGAGATTGTCGAATTTAGATCAAGAATCGAATTTGACATATTTGATTCTATAATCGAGTACATAATAAAGACTATCATCGGTTGAATTACTCAAGTAATCAAATGATTTTGGTGCATGGTTTACTTTCAACAGTTTATCTATATTCAAATATCCAATTTTGTTCTGATTTTAAGTCTTCATAATAATCAAATACAAAAGAAAGATACTCATACTGAGTAATTATTGTGTATCTTATACTTATATTGCGTAGTAAGTTTTGGTTTGTAAAACTAGCTAATATGAGATTTTATTACTACCTAAACATGTTAAATTGGCCAACATATTAGTATTCTTGACTTACCGTCCAATACGCACACACGTTCCCGATACAATGCACCCAACACAGTCTACTAATCAAACATTAAACATAATTTTGACATGAAGACAGAATATTCCAACTACAAAACTATAGCCTTACTAGTTATTATGCCTATAAAATACTATTTGTTTAGTATTAAGGTTACTCTCGAAGTGTTCGCAGTAAACCGACAAATCATGTGCTCCTCCAATCCTCCGCCGTACGCCAATTGTCATTTGGCCAAATAAACCTGATCATACATGTTTTTATAGGAGTATAGGACTAAAAAAAACATACTACCAAGTAATTAATAATTATAGTAATTACGTAACCCAATCTCTCGACTGCTTAAATTACAAAACATGTTGTAATCGGTTTTGGACTTATTTAGGGGCGCATGTTCTACTATTATACAAATCCAACACTGCAGCTAGGGTGGCGCAGTCTATTATTCAATTAGATACTGTACATGGTCGTGTTTGTACCACACGTGTAACGTGTTCGACTACTCATATGTAGCTATGTATGTGCTAGAATATGCCTTAAATTAACTAGTCCCCTTTAAAAGATTATCATGTATATGGGTACGGTCTCGCTGTCCAATTAGATATACTCGAAAATAACTAAGAATTTAACGTGTTTAAAGCAACAATATGCTGGCCAAAATGAAATGGAAAAAGTAGTAAACTATATAAGATACAAGAAGTATAATGTAAAATGTAAATCATGATCTGAGGAATTATTAGTTATCCACTTCATAAGTCTCTTAAAGTAGACCCCTTGAAAGTGGAATGTTGGGTCTTAACTTGACCTATTGTTTTTCGGGTCTCTAGTCTTCCCTTGAACAGGCCCAAGGGCAACCTTTTCATATCAAATTCTGAGGGATACACCATCACCTGCAACTTATACTGTCAATACTGAATTAGCTGGGGTTTAAGAAATTTCAGTGATTATTCCTAATATTTCAATTCAATAGTCTATCCAATTAAAAGAGATTATGCACGATCTTTACCATCATCCCATATGTACATAATAACTTTATATACGTGGTTCTTCATCATATAACTGGTTATACCATGTATATGGACAAAGAAATAACTTTAATGGTATGAAGTATCATACTTAAGGTATAGTTGGTTGTACATAAAAAAAATTAAACGAGTACCTTTAAATAAATTTACATATAAATGAGGCACATGAGTGATACAACATCAAAATTATTAAAAAAATAAAAAGTAAATTAAAAGAAAAAATGTTTTTTCTAATGTACATATTTTCTCTGTTCTTTTTTACTTGACCGGTTTCTTTTATCACGCTTGTCTACAAAACTTTAACGATCAATAACTTTAATTCTCAATAAGTAAAAATTATTATTAATATTTTTTTTCCTTACATATTATTCATAAAAGGCGGTCAAAAAAAATGGTGAATAGTGTAAAAGTCAAAGCGGGTTAAATAAAAAAAAAAACAGAAGAAGTATCAAATTTACACTTTGCAATTTGTAATTGCTACAAGAAGAAAAAAAAAAAAGTTCTTTATTTGTTGGGTGGAGCATCATTTAATGCGTTTATTGCTCAAGTCTACAAAGTTAGAGCCCTAAAACAAAGTCAAATAGAGAAATAGGTAAACCAACCTTCGGCCGCCCAAAGAAATGATGAGTTGCCTGCAGATAAAGGCAACTCTATACATGAGCTCGATCAGATCTACTTATTTTTGATGGTCCTCTTTACCAACCTCTTATGCACTGACACACAATAAGCTAGTCTTTGGTTACGTCCATTCATTTTTAATGTGTCTAGGATATAAATATATAATACTCCAATTAAGCGAAGGGATTGTTTGGTTGCCTCCATTTGACAAAGGCATTGGGAAATCATGGGAAGTGGATTTATGTATTGTTGTTTGGTTGACAAAGGGTAAAGAAAATGGAGGAATTGACAATTCTTTGGGAAGTTATAATTCCCACAAAACAAGGGAAATCACTTACCCACCCCCCAAGGTTATGAGTGCATAGAGGCGCATAGGGCTTATGTATTTTGCATGCATATAGAAGAGCAATTGGGGATTCGGTGGTACATTTTCTCTCTTTTAATGATACAGTGGTATATTTTTGTGTACTATTTATGTAATATTATGCATGTAGTGGTACATTTTGTCGTCATATTTTCTACCACCGATTTTTCTCACATTCCCATTATTTACAAAAATGTCATCCTATTTGCAAGTGAAATATATAACGCCTATGCGCCAAAACTTATTCCAAGGTCACTCATAATTCCCACATATAATTTACAAGTAAATTACATATTTACCCTCATAAAGTGAAGAAAAGGGCGCTAACTTTTTTCATTTTCCTCCCTAATCTGGAGTCCTCTATTACTTGACAATGGCAGCCCCTTCTCTCTCTCCTTAGATTTGGTTCCACCTCCATTTCTTCTCCAGCACCAACAACACAAAACCAAAAATCCAAAGTATGTGAATTCTCTCTCTACTACTCCTGTTTTATTATATATTGTTATACGAAAGTTTAATTTTTTTAAATGGATATTTTTTACGGTAAGTCGGTAAGGCGTAATTGATTGATTAATTTCAATAAATTCATATGAAGAGATGATTTTTTGCTTGCAGGTTCATGGTCTTTTTCTCCTTAATTACTTATATCTTTATAATGTTAATTGAATTGGGTGTCATTGAATATTCAAATTCATCTTAAATTCAGAAGCAATTTAGGTTTTTAGTTTTTATTTTGACAGTTTGGGGTTTACATGCATTTAATTTGTATAGAAAATTATTAGATCTAAAGGAACCTATACACAAAAGAAAGAAGTGTTTTTAATATTAATAGCCATTGCAATTTAATTTTTAAAGATTGCAATATATGTCGTTAGTTACTACAGTAGTATGATTGTGAATGAATTTTTTTGGTACTTGCTAGAATTATAGGTCTAAAGTCCATTAAGGTCTTGTTTGATCTACATTCTTGATCTTAGCCCCCACTATTTTAACATTTGAGTGACACTTTATGAGAGATTTCTTATTTATGCTCCTAAACTTACTAGTTTTGTGTTAATATCTTACATAATTATCTACATTGTGCTTACTCTGTACATATTATATGTAGTTATGGCTCGCCTTCCATTACTTAAACAAACGAAAATTGCTACAACTTGTGTTATGATATACAGGCAAATGATGATTATGCTTCTAGAGATGATGATTGAGCTTATGTATCTTCTTACTAGTTTGAGTGTTAAGATACCGAAGCCTGTAACTTATATATTTGACAATTCCCCTGAAGAAAGATGTTATGCTAGAATCTTGAATCTTAGGGCAATGATTCAAGGAAGTGACATAGCATGCTTGGATTATCTTAGAATGGACAGGGCTCTTATGAAACAAAAACAACCAGTGTGAAAAAAAAGCCAAGCCTCACATTGAGTCTAGAGTAAAGCTCCTTAGGAAGCAATATGATGCTATTTCAGAGATGCTTAGTCCGGGTGCTAGCGGATTTGGGTGGAATGATGATGGGAAGTTTGTTACGTGCCCACAATCAGTTTGGGATGAATGGATTAAGGTAAATTGCTTCTATTTTTTAGGTCTTTTACAAAAATATTCATATACAATCTGTTTGATCTCCCCTGACTCCCTGAGTGTCTTGTATTTTTTTCTGGAAAACTTAAATCAATGGAATTAAATTGTATGTATTACCTATAATGTGAAGATGTAATTGTGACACACAAAAGTGGCCATTCTTATTCCTATAAAAGAAAATTGTAAACAAATTGAACTTGAGACCCCATAATCATCTCCTTCATTACTTATTCAATTTTTAGGTCTTTTTTTTTTTGCAATTTTTGAAGTTGTATGACAATTTATATTTCTTATTTTGGCAGAGTCATAAAAATGCAGAAGGGTTAAGAAACAAGCCATTTCCTTTTTATGATAACTTAGGGAAAATATTTGGCAAAGATAGGGCTATTGGGAATGAAGCTACAAATGTTGATGATGTACTTGATGAGGTGGATGAAGAAGACAAAGGTGAAGAAGAACAAGAAGTCCCTCAATATTCTGAAGAACATATTAGTTCAACTCCTCTATGTAATCAAACAAGGCCTCCACTTTCAACAACACCTACAACTACTAGGACGAAAAGAGCAAGAACCGAAATAATTGAAGTTTTAAAAGAGTTTTCGACCAAAGTTGGAAAAATCAGCGATGTAATGGAAGCTGCAGGCGAGCACATAGGACGACTTGCCAATTGTTTTAAGCATGAGTTCGATTCTGCTGAGCGAAGGATGAAAGTGACTTCCGAGGTAATGAAAATTGAAGGTTTATCTCCTACTGAAGTTCTTTTGGCTTCTAAAAATACTGCCCCCTTAACCCTCTCGAAGTTGACCTTTTTTTTTTTTTTTTTAGCCTTCCAGATGACTATAAATACCCTTATATTCCGGGTCTCTTGAAACATAAATTTTCATTTGATGTAGGTGATCCTAACCTATGACTCATAATTTTTTTGGTGATTTAGTACTACACTTTTTGTAAAGTCTAACGAAGTATTGCAGCTTGTGAGCCAAATTAGATTTGCTTATGCTTATATTGGGGATATAACACTGGTCTTTTGTAAGGAACACTACGAAACAATCTCATCTAATTTAGGCTCTAGTTATTTGGCTAGTCAGTTTTTGCAGAAAATATTCTCTCTTTATGTAAGCACCTTGTAGCTCTTTTATAATATACGAAATATGAATTATTCAAAGTAGCCATAATACTTGTATACATTCTATTGCTTTTTATTATCACTGGTGCCTCTCCATTGCTTTAAATTTTCAAATTATCTTGCAACATTAATTAGTTGTGTCAATAAAAATCAGATTTTTGGCTAGTTAAGATTGTGTGTATATATATATTATGGGAAAAGTAGTTAAAGTAGTTACAATTCATGGGAAATAGATAAATACAACCAAACAAAATAAGGGAACTTAATTCATGGGAAGTGTAAATTCCTTGTTGTCAACCAAACATGTTTAGAGAACTTCCTAGGAAGTGAGTAAGGGAAGAAACTTCCCAGGAAAATGAATTTCCCATGGGAACTTATTTTCCTTATAAACCAAACAACCCCTAGTTTGTGTATATATTCACCAATTTGTACCAAACAATCAATCAGTTTTGTGTCTTCTTAGTTCTCACAGTTTAATTTTGCTCTTCTAAGTCTTTATATCAGTTTATGGTCCATTTGTTCTTATGTAAGACTTGGCAAAGGCCCAATGACAATTGGAATTTGATGAGATTGACATTGTATAGACTGTATTGAGGTGTTTTCTAGTCAATAAGTGGGTAAACGGGTTTACTCAGTCAGGTTTAAATCATGGTTGGTTTTATCTCAATCGGGTTTAGTCAGATCACACTTTATGTTATTTTTAGCAAATTGGGTTTGGTTTTTCAATCTCTACTTCGAGTTCGTAATGCAATTTGAAACAAACTTGTCAAGGTAAGTCAACTCAATCGGGTTTTTCTTAGTTGGGTTCGGCCGTTCTGGTAGGGTTACTGGGTTAGGTCATTTTAGACAAATCATTAAGTCAAGTAGTCTAGAATTGGGTTAGAGCTTTGGCAGAATAGCAGATTTTAATATTGATGTAATGTGAGTACTTTGTTTTGCTCCAGTGAAAAAAAAGTGAGAACAGGTTGCTGAAATGTGAACTGTATGAAAAGTGCAAATGCTCACAGCAAATATTACAGTTTCCTGGAAAAAGTTCTTGCACATCCTTCAGAGAGATAAAGCAATGTACAGGACAATTTATTCAGAATCTCACTCAGATTATCAGCATTTCCTGTTTACATTGTAGATCAACTTGTCAGGAAAAAGAAAAAATAATTAGTGATACATGAGAAGTAAAACTTACAGTCATTGGTTAAATCCCCTACCTATTCACGAACACCTACAATCATCGTATGACATATACGTAAATTTACGAACACTGATCACAGCATTGGTGAGTCCATACTTCACCCTTATACACAACGCTATCTCACGAGTAAAAACTGTGGTATCTGTACACAATCGTCACAATCAAAATTTAAAACTGCATATCCATCAGAAGTTCTTCCACAAGGTCACCTATAATTTGATATTCCAGTTCTTTACCCATATCACACATCTCTTCATCCAAATGACTAGACCAAGGCATAACATTCAGATCATGAGCAACCAAATCGTCGAATGAATAACAGGATGTGTAGCTCGAGGGGTATAAAAACTCACATACCATCTCCCAAACCTGCTCCAATAGTTTTCTGCCCAGAGGGTGGGGCAACATGACAACTTCAGTTATCTTCCTCTTGAACTTAGACAATATCCTAGGGGGCCCAAGTACAATTGTGAGTGCCTCATTCAATAAATCAAAAAATAATTTATGCTCCAAACTACTGTCATTGTAGCTAGCAGCTTCATATTCGTTGGTTGGTTTTTGGTATGATTCTTCCACTTTTTCAAAGACCCAATTTCCCATGGGCTTCACATATGGATCCCATCTTGAAAAAGATTTAACCCACGATCCATCATACAAACCTGAAGCAACAAGTAGGTTCTTGATATAGACTTCTGCTTCACTTTCCAATTCAATCATCTCTGATTCTGAAGGATCCCCGGTAACAGTGGTGATTTGACTGATTTCTGATCCTTCATAATCAAGTTGATTCAACTGCTTTCGTAACTCTGTTCCACATAATTTGATGAAGAAAAAGATTGATCAATTTGAGTTCTATGATGAAATACAAATGGCAAATATAAAAAATGTCTACAAATGGAAAGTGGCATGCAAAAACAACTTCCTGATAAGACAGCTCATTGGCCAATTCATCTATTAAGTTCAAACATAAAAGCATTCCAAATTGCAGCAGCAATATGCCTAGAAGAATTTATAGGTAGCTAATAACAGTAAATTAGCTTACTCATGCATGAACATTCATTTGACAAACAATAGGCAAGCCTCTATGCAGATCCGAATGATAAGAAAGACAAGATCATATTGGACAAATATTGGTATATACTCGTCAAAATCAAAATGAAGACACCAGAAGTGGATGAGGACATATTTGACACAACTGTGGTATACCAGGATAGTTTCCTTCTTAAAACAATAAAGCATCAGTCTGACAAAAATAACTAAAATACAATGATATACGTTGACTACGGTGCAGGTAATATTAACATGAACCAATCACTAGCCAATGCTGCATGTACTTGACTATACAACTGACAAGAAACTGTATAGCAGTGATGGGATATATTTACTCAAAGAGCAAAAATTCATATGTACTTCGCATTAGAAACACAGGAACATAAGCAATTTGCTACCCATTTAATAACCTAATTATAAAAAATATAAGGTATCTTAGTATGTTCCAACCTGTAAGATTGGAGCTGATGTCTTTAAAAACATTGCCCACACCGTGATCTTCTACAGAGGTCACGTCTGAGATTGATGCTGGACTGGTATGGTCTATTGGCTTCCAAAATTCTTCCTGATAGCTACTGCATATGGATGCAGGACTAGGCGGAAGCTCAGTTGAGTTGTCCTACAATGACAACAGATGAAACCAAACATGAATCAATGATCTTTCGAGGAGAGCCACTACAAATGGTATTTATCTGAATCCCGGAAATTCTTGCATTAATAATTACTTCAATTTTTGGATAAAACATTTACTTACATTTCTGTCATTGAAACTAGATATAACTGAGGGTCCATTCATTATATCTTTTGTTGAATTAAATTCATTGCTCTCAGACAAATCCATCGACTCAAGCTTTTTGCTAAATAACATCCTTCTAAGAGAGAGGCTATGTTTGAGACTGGAAACCTTTTCTCGCAAATTAAACCTTTCTTTCCTTTGGTCTTTGATATCAAATGAAAATTTATCAAAAGCCTCGTGCTTCCTTTTAATATGCGCTCCTGGTGAAACATATCTGTCCTCTAGAAGAAGCTTCCCAAATGACATTCCTGATACCGGAGCTGACAAAGATCGAATAAGATTCCTGGGAGATGGCTGTTCTTGAGTATTCCCATCATCTTTTAGCTCATACCGGAAGGACCTAGCTCGTGTATCTGCATCGTAGTTCCCATCACACCAAGAGTGCTTTCCATGTTCAGCATTCAAGATATCCCTAGCTTTCTCTAATCGTACCCTAGCATCGTCAAACAAGGGTTCCCTGGGAGAACCTCCAGAAGTGAGATGATGATTTGGGTGTTTTTCCCTATCTAAGATATTCCTCAGTCTCTCTGACAAGAATTTTTTTGTATCTTTGCTCATGTACTCTGGCGATGATGGAGCCAGCTCACTCATCAAACTTTCATTTTTATAGAACCTTGCTGATTCTGATCGAAACAACTTCCTATCCAGGTCTCCATTGGTATTCTCCTTCACACATTTAGCAACCGGTTGATAGGTTTGTCTTTCATATGCTGGTTTTTCCTTAAACGGAGTCTCAATCCCACCTCCTCTAACCATGGAACCCTTATTCAAGGCATTACCCTGCATTTCATATCTCAGCCTTTCCCTCACTTCCTCAAGAAGATCTTCTATACAGTCTCTATCATCCATTGAGCTAGAAGAAGTAACCCAAGACTCATCATTGGCACTAAAGCTATCAGGACCAGGCTTTAAAACTACAATCTTTGAGGGAGCAGAAGATTTCTCTGAGTCTATATCAGAATCCCTTAAAGAAAGCTGCTCAAGGTCTCTACCTGAGCGCACTCTACTGAAAGAATATGATTCCTTGTGCTTAGATAAGAATGCATCCTTCTTGTATCCAAGACGCTCAAAATCATCTCTATGTAGAGACCTACATCTCTCAGAGCCTATATCAGAATCCCTTAAAGAGTGCTGCTCAAGGTCTCTACCTGGGCGTACTGCACTGAAAGAATATGATTCCTTGTGCTTAGGTAGGAATGCATCCTTCTTGTATCCAAGACGCTCAAAATCATCTCCATGTAGAGACCTTGATCTAAACGCGTCCCTCTTGTGCTCCCCAGATTTATCCATAGCATCTTTTCTGGAAGTTTCATAGATAGACATTTTTTCCTTTGTAAGATCCAACTGTGCAAGCCACTGTTCAGGAATGTTGCCGAGTTGAACCACTCTTGCACATTCAAGGAACCTAGATGCCTGCCAGGCTTCAAAGTCTTTCTTAAATTTCTGAAGCTCTTTCTCTTGAGGATGTACTCGAGGGCGTGGCTTTCCAAGATTTTTGCCACTGCTCCAGTATCTAAAGTATGTGTCTTTATATGAACAGTATTCCTTTTTGCTAGACGACTTTGACTTTTTAGGGGCACGAACAGATGATACCTTTTCTACGAGCTGGACTTTTTTGTCAATGAATTCGACCTTGTCTTCTTCATCCTGAAGAGGTTGAACTTCAGGCTCGGAATCCACTGGCAATAGATCCATCCCCATCAGCCTTGCAACAATACTTGGTGAATTCTGTTTATTATTTTGTTGCTTTGATAAGTCCTTGCTAATCAACTTCTTCATTGAGGCATCAGTTGGATAATAGCTCCTCTTGGGAAAATCCTGCTGTTTTCAATGAGAAAGAACCAATTCAGTTAGCGACAAAATAAGCAAGCTGAGCATTTGAATTATGTTCTTGTAATAAAACTAAAATGTGACTCTTGCCCAATATGCTACTATAATTTTCTTTATTTTTTGGATGGGTTGAGGGGAGACCAGGAAAGTTGATACCATGGGGGTGATACTTCATCTAGATGTGAAAAATGAGACCACTAACAACAATAGAATACAGAGTAAGCAGTAGTCACTCAATAAGGAATGAAAGCTCATCAGAAATTGAAGGCGAGATCATCTTCAGAACAAGTGTGATCAGGCTACAAACTGACTGAGTGCCCTAAAATTAACACTTCATCCTGAATTGATCGGCTTTTTAAGAATGTATATGTTAAAATGCAAGTAATCGTAGTTAACTTCAAGCTCTCATGCTTTCTAACACATCTAAATGATCTAATGAATCAATCTTGAACTAAGATGAGGAAAGACAATATGCCAAACTGACATGCAACATAGATACTCAAAAGGTCATGTGTCGTTCATAAAAAATTGCAATACATTTTAAGGAATCAGGGCAAATCACCTGTTCATAGCTTTCGACAGCATAATGATTCCGCAAAGTTTCAGCTACCATCTCTAAACTGTTACGAGGAGCTGCCACATTGGCTACATACATAAGCCAATTTACAAGCAATATCAGTCATTTCTGTTTTGATAGAATTACATAGATCACAAATGCCATCTATATATGTTTCTAATTCTTACATTTAGCTAAATTTCTAGCCAATTACAATGCATAATCAAGTATCAAATTCTAAACAAAAATCAGTACACAACAAATGCAACGATTTCGTGTATGATGAGATTGAATACATACCACTCCCTTGTTTCTTATGCCTCCTTCCCATGGACCCTTGATGAAAATAAAAAAGGTGCAATAATCCTCCCATGCAGCCTCCAGTTTATTAAAATCCAATAAAATCCTCAAAATCTTAACAATCCATCAACCCATTAAAAACTCGAATAATCGAAACGTATCCTTGATGTCTCAAGCATATAATCTGTACAGCAACATGAACAAAAAAATTTACTAATAAGCTTCAATGCTTCTGGTAAAACCATACAATATACAAAAATTAAATATAAACCCACATAATTAAGGATTGTCACACTCAATATATCTCAATGCATTCATAATTTCATTACTCAATCCAAAAAAAAAAATTCTTGTAAAATCTCATAATCTTTCATGCCTAACATTAAGTCAAATTGGCTTCAAAACAAAAAAAAAAAACATTAAGTCAAATTTATTGATTAACCAAAAAAAAAAAATTACCTTCAATTATGCTCAGATTGTTCCAGATGATTATGATTTCCAATTGCTACTTTATCAAACTGCAGATATGAAAAAAGGAAAAAAGAAAACTTAAATTAGAAAATTGTTAAAACTATCATAATCAACTAATCTGAACTACCATACTCCGTACTAGATAATTTAATTATGCTCTTAATCAATGTGATTAACCATTAAAACATGCATTAATCACCAAAATGTTAGTGTACAGATTCTTAAGCAACTAATTGATGAAAATTATAATATCCAACAAAAATCTAACAAAATATAAGATTGAGGATTAACGCACCCAATAAATGACAGGAAAATGTGTTGAAGTTAAGGAGAGAGAAACTGCAACAGAAAATGTTGCTGAAGTTTAGCAATGTAGAGAGAGAAAGAATGGAGATCGTGGGGAAGAATTGAAGATTCAAAGCAGGTAATGGTGGATATGAAACTATAATAATTTAATAAATGATGATGATAATAATAATAAGTTAATAACGTTGAAGTAGAAGTAGATGATGAGAATAAAAATTAATAATGTTATTATTATTATTTTTCGGTTGAGAGGGTAAGCTCTTTCTTTTGTTTGAGTAAACAAACATTTAAAAAAATATAAAATATTCCGTGTATTAATACAAGTACAATTTAATTAGTATTTCGTCGTTGGGATTAAAGAATGGAAAAGTAAAGGTGAGGTTGAAGGTGTAGAACCCCACAACCAGCTAAAAAGTGGGAAGCAAGGGGGTTGTTTTGCATCTTTAGGAAGTTGATTATTGTTATAGGAGAAGTACTGTTGCTGTGTTTTTTATGGGTAGTTGTTAAATGGCCCACTTATATTTACTTCCCTGAGGTGAGAGAGACATAGGGAGGTTTGTAGTGATTTAATGGCTAACAAACATGTGCCACGTCATTTTTAAGGAGAAATTAATGATTTACAATTCAATTGAAAATTTGGAATTTGAAAAATAAGTCAGACGTTGTTGTTTTGGATCTTTTAGTGGAAATCAGTGTGTTTTATTTACTTGATTTTTACTTATTGAAATTCAATTAAACTTAATTAGATCATGTAAAGTGAAGTTAAATCATCTTGGACCTCAATAGTACGTTAATTAAGGGTTTGTTCTATGTTCAAAGTTCAGATCAGTTTAGATAAGTTCATTTCGGGAAAAATAAGTTTTTATAAGGGTTACCAATTACAAATTACAACTAAAATAAGTTTTAATAAGTTCAATAAGTTTAGGTAAGTTAAGATAAGTTCCGATCAGTGAAAATCAGATGAATAGAACACACCCTAAGACTATATTAAAAAACATAGAGCAATCGAGACAAGTAATGTATACGAGTATACATTATTTAGAAAAAGGAGTGAAAATGGTTTTTAAGTTTTAACAACCCATAATTATGAAGAAGTGATGAGGATATGAGCAACAACTAAGAAAGGTCCAATGCATGTGATTAAATGATGGTAGTGCTACATATCCTTGACCATTGACCGCAGTTTTTACAGTTCTTAAATTCAACAGAACTAGAAAAACTGTCTGGTTTAATTAAGCCAATAATACTCTAGTATTTTGACTTAAAATTAAAGAATAAAAACGAGTAGTTGATAAATTAATTATACAACAAGAGGTGTTTAAGATTAAATTAATAAATTAATACAGCTAATTAGACAGTTGCTTTAACGCACGAAGTGATACAATTGGAGGAGAGAGAAAGAGAATTGGACAGAAAGAAAATAATATGGACGACGTGCTACTCTTTTTTGTTAGCGTGTGTGCCGTAGACTGGACTACCAGTAGTATTTCATTACTCTTTCTAATATCTTTCATTTAAATTTCAATTAGATACAAATTATTATTAGTTAAATAAGGAGTACTGTAGTTAGCAGTTTGCACAGGTAGTTACCACTCACATAGATAATTGCACCTAGAGGGTGAAGGATAGCTCAAGTGGTTAGAGCTTCTTTCTCGGTTTCAAGGGATTTTGGGATCGATTCTCATCATCCGCCCTTGTGGTTCCCTAAACACCAAAAAAAAAAAAAAAATAATTGCACCTCTATTTTGTTTTTGGGTATACATATAGTAGTATAGTACACCTAAAGCAAGGTGTATCTAATGACCATTCAATTTTATTCAACTCATTTTATCAATTTTGTTTAATTAAAAAAAAGATAATGAGCAAAACTTTAAAGTGGACTACAAAAAAGAATTAAAAAAGGAAAATGCTATATATAGTCCTTAGGATTACATATAAGCATTAAATAAATACTAGAAAATTGTATAAATTTAGGAAATCATAAAAATATTCACACTAATTACACTGATTTATGCGTGTTTTTGTCATAAATTCATAATCAATACTTCGTACCATTTTTAAGAGTGTATAGCATTACACGTTTAAAAAAAATCATGAACTCACCTATTTGAGTTAGCTGCAAGCCTGCAAGTATATCCGGAAACAAGTAAGAACTTGCAACCAACTATTGCCTCTTTATAAGAATTTGTAACGTGGGTCTAATATTGGGAGTTTTTCGTCGTAAATTTGTAGGCCCGATTCACCTTAAACAATGAAGTTAAGGAACATTTTTTGCTACCAAATTCATTGCATATTTTGAAATAAATTCGTACAGGTTTTAAATATTTAATGATTTCAAATAGGATAGATTTTGGGGAACATAATGAATCATTATTAGTTAATACGAAGTACTATACTACGAGTAAATAAATAAGTAGTCATATTTGCAGAAAAATTAATTTTTCAAAAATAAAATAAAAATAACAAAGTAGAAAAATTAATATAAATCATGAAATTCAATGTTTTCCAAAGCTTTAACTTTTTTTTTTGTGCAAATGAGGGGCAAGTCGGGTTCAAATGAAAATGGAGTACAAACTAAGGTCTTGTTTAGTTCAACTTATTTTTACTTATTTCAAAAAAAGTAAGTTCAGATCAGAAAAAATAAGTTTATATCAAATCATCGTTTTATGTGCAATTTTTTATCGCTAAATATCTTTAATTTCGTAATGAAAAAAATTATAAAAATTACATATTAATAAAATACACATTATTACGAATCTTACAAGATCCCACTTGATACATTTTTTCCCTACAGATTATTGTAAAACTTAAGGTCAAAGTTTGGTCAAATCAGACAATAAGATCAGATCAGATCAGATCTGATAGGATAAGATAAGATCGGATCAGTTCAGATAAGCAAAAATAAGGTGAACTAAACATGGCCTAAATTATAGAAGAAATATATGGCATAATAGAGAACACATACTCCAATTATGTCTTTCTAATTAATCGTCAGAGATCCAAATTAAAAGAGGATCATGAATGACAATATGCATCTTGTTTATTTGAGTAGTACATTATTTCTCTTACAAAGCAATGCAAGCATAGGAAATATTACATAATCGTTTGATATAAATTAAACTTGGGGTTGATATATGTGTTTATAATTTGTTTATGTTTGGTTTTAATCAGATTAGTTTCATATATAGGTCTAGTTCATTTTATGTGCTTTTCGGGGTTCACACACTTTTTTTGATTTAAGAGATTAAGAGCTTGTTTTTTATATGTTTTTTAGTTGTTGTATGTCCCGTTATATCAAATTAGAGTCGGTTTAGGCCGATCAATGCTATAGTTAGGGTGTTAAATACGGGTTTGGGCCAAACCCGCAACCAAGAGAGAGAGCTAGAGAGTCCACTTCACAAGACGTACCAAAGGAGGTTCCATCTCAAAACCATATGGCGATAGGAGTAACCCTTAGCCTTATAAAGTGTTGAACTCTCTGTTCTTTTCAATCACAATGTGAGGCACTTACATGTGTTGTTTGGGAAGTTTATACTTTATATAGGGTTTCACGATTTCTCACTACCTAGAATTTGTCATCTCAAAACGTACGTATGTAAAAAAGGACAATAATTCAAGCTATACCGCCTTAGCTTATTTTCTTTCTATAAAACCGTCCCCTAATCCTAGTAATATATTAACTTGTACTAATTGAACCCTAAAATGATGATAAAATGAAGTCCAATCGTAGGGTAACCCTTAGCTTTTGACGAATGATAATAGGGATTAGTTCATATTTGTGAAATGTGAATGTCGTAGTTGGTTGGCTAAAGTATTAGCAACATTTCACTATCTGCATTTGGACAAAAGCGCTTTAATCACATGCATACTTAAGTGTACTGGTCTACATGCAGGCTCTATATATACTATTCATCCATGTAATTATTACTCATATTATAGAGTCGCAGTTACTTCGTATTAATGAACAAAATTAATGATTAATATAGTTTAGTAGCATAGTTAAGCTTAGCTTCTTAACGTAAGAGTGGAAGTACGCTTACTACTAGTGTGTAGTGTCTAGTGACTAGTGACTAGTGACTAGTGACTAGTGAGGAGAAAAGTTATAACATTTTAAATGCTTTATGACCATAGTAAAAGTTTGAGGTCGTATTCATATGGATATGCTTAGCAATATGTAAATTCAGTCCTATTTCTCATAATTACATTTGTGGGATAATAATGAAAAATTGTTAAGATATAAACATTTAAAAGGGAAATTCTATGGAAAATTTGTACACAAATTAACATTTTTGGTAAATATACAAATTAATATCTATATGCCGTACAATTTATATTGACGGTTCATATTAGCCGACTCTTAATCATTTTGAGACGAAGCTTTTGTTGTTGGTGTATATACAAACACTCGCACTTTCTAAAGACTTAATGCACTGTCATATGACTTTAAAGATAGGGAGAATTTGTTTCTCTTTCGATCAATTGCGCTTCATAAAATCAAATTATTATCACTTGTTTGGCTGTAAATGAAGAACATTTCATAATATCAAAATCAAATTATCAATTGTTTGGCAGTAAATGAAAAGGTCCATATCAAGTACGGTGTGATAAAGAAAGGTGTATCAAATAAGTAGTTGATACAATCAAAATTTCCTTATCGCAACTTACACTTTTTTTTTTTCTCCTACTCTAATGAATTTTATAAGTCACTGATCAAACAAGATGGCCTACATTTCTAATAAAATGACTCAAAAAAAACTTCTTCTCAAGAGTAATAATCTCCAATATTTGTCAAATTCTAATTAGTAAGGGAGAAGCACCGAAGACCCCACATATTAAAATAATAAGATAAAATAAGTGCATCATCATCCACAAATAAAAAAACATAAAACAAAAGGGTCAAATCAAAAAAATTAGCTAACGAGAGAACACTCTAACCTAATACGTGGTACTTAAGAAACAATTAAAAAATGCAATAATTTAGATTGGTGCAAACTCAAATGCAATAATGAACAAGCTGTTTTATTGGTGGGGTTTACGTTGTTAAAGGCTAAGATGATGATATAAAGTGGGCGGAGTCATGTGCACAAACTCGATCATTGAGATGCAAATGAACGATTATCTAACAATTTGTGGGGAAGAAAGGGATCAATTAGCCGTCTCCCATCATTGCTATACATACGTGCTAGATTGCTTGTCATTGCTATAATAGCTTGGTATATAAATCCACTCCAAAAGTTTCGAATATCCAAATTAATACTTTTAATTTTGATTTTTTTTTTCTATATACTTTGTATTTTGTAAGAAATTATTACAATATCTAAAATTTGGATTCTAGGATTAGATTTATCCAATATTTGAATATCAAAAATATATCTTTTAAATTGATATTCAACTTTTAAAAATCAGACATCCTAAATTATTAGGTTGGATGCAAATCGAATTTTCGGATTGTTTTACTCAACCCTATTAGCACTGCCTAAAGGGTCCTTTATCCACCTCCACCCCCTGAACGCAATCATTATGGAACTTGATTTTATAACCTTAGGTACTGAGGGACAATCTTTGGTCCTTTAACCTTCACACTAAGGCAAGTTTGATACATAGACCGATAGGTTTTTGTGTCATTGGTTACGAACATACTGAACTAGGTTTTGCTATATGCCAAAGAGGTTTGTGAACTGGGAGTCACATACATGGAGTGATGTTGATATAGCACATTTGCTCAGAACTCATAGCAGAACCTACATAAGTCCACAGTCCACACATATCAAATGGACTTTTGAGCCTTGAAGGCTTAGGGCAGGGTGGATCAAAATTGCCAAGAAGGAGCCCATATATCTTGCCTTGAACCAAGTTATTAATATTGCTTTTTTTTTTTTTTTTTTTTTTTTTTTTTTTTTTGTTGTGGGGGGTATTGAAACTAGGCTTGGATCATGCCCTACTAGGGTGTTATCCAGCCTTCTAGTCAAGCCCATACACCGCGAGGCGGGGCGGGTAGACAGGTAAAGGAACCCCGCCCCCTAAAATGTTCATAGTGAAACTTGAACTTATAATATCGTGCTCTTGAGGAACAAGCTCTACCCACTAAATTAACTAAGGCGAGCTTGATAAAAACGACCATTTATCCCAAATAAAAGTTTCCTGAATCCGCCCCTCTGGGGCACAACCTGGTTCTAAACCAAGTAGTGTTGGATTGCCTGCCATCCGCAGCAGCCTATAGGGGAGGGCATAGGTCTAAGATTCAGAGCATCTGAATCTCCACATTATGATTACATACTTCACATTTTTGCATCAAACATCATTTCAGTATACCAAGCCTCACCAATGCACCATGAATCCGTGATTCACTAAGTTGACTGCACCATGTATGGCTACTACATTGCCTTCATATATTTATTGGATAGCACTAAGATAATGATTTACAAAATTGATGACGTACACAAATATGCCTACATCATTTACATGTACATACATACATCACACTCATATGGGTAAACCAACTTTCAAAAATATAATCTTCAAGTCAGGGGCTAGCATCGGAAACAATTGCATTGCTGCTGTTATATACAAAGTTTCCTGTTGAGGGAGGGCGCGGTTCTTCAAGAATATATCAAGCTATACATGAAGTGCAATAATAATATTGCTGCAAGCGCACCTTGATGGGCTGAAAAATTGATACTTTGTCGGTTAAACTAAGATGGCTGACGAGGACGGCTGCACCAAAGGGAGCTTAGAGCCCTTAGACGCTGGAAGTACTCCCCTAGAGCTAATAAACCTCGAGCTGCTTGACGTACAGTGAGGATCCGATGCATTTGCTGTAGAGTCTCCCGTCGAAGATGGTCTGCCTGGTGGACAAAGGCACAAAGGTTAACTACCTACATTGTCGGAACAGGAAGCGAAAAGGGTAGGTACTAGTTCCCCACCAAAGTAGGCAGAATGCAGTGAGCAGGAAAAGAAATTGTAAATAAAAGGTATGGAGGAAATTTATGATGAAATTATAAAGTTATTACCTGGTTTACAAAGCTCACAAGAGCTTCAAGTTTCTCAATTGCATTGTTAGCCATTTCTGAAGTGTAAATCCCTTCGCCTAATCGATCTGTACCTACGGTTTCTGCCAGAGTCTGCTGGAGTTTATCCATTCCCTGTGACAGTGCCTCTTCTGCTTGCTCACATGATTGTTTGAGGTTATAGACATCCATCACTTGTTGGTTTATCAAGGGTTCAAGCTGAGGCCCAAGTACCTATAGGTGTCATGAAAGCAAATATTGTCAAATTTCGTAATATTGAAGAAGACTAACCATAACAATCAGCATTACATCTTTCGTGTACAAAACAATCCTAAAACATGACCAAGCCTAGCACATCTCTCTATTTTTTTACTTGGGAAGTAGGGAAGACAGGAAAGTCAACTGCTGTGATCTGAATTTGTTAAATTTCACAAATATATACGAAGTACAACATGGAAAGAAAATGCTTCACCTTTAATAAATCCGATGGACGGAACCCCCCAATCCACAAGAAAAAGCGCTCAGTTGACGTTTTCCACATGCCAGACATGAGGTAGAATACGTCGGCCTTTGCTGCACCTGCCTTCAATTGAAAAAGATCAAAATAGTGCTTCATGCCACTATCTACCAGAATCCGGAGTTCAACATCGGTTATATGGGTATTCAACGCATTTCTGAGTTCACAAATCTGTTTATTCTGCTCTTCAACCCAATGTCCATACTCCATCTCAAATGCAACAATCCCTAACAAGAAAAAAACAAACAATCATTAAAGAATGTATAAATCTATCAAAGTAGGCTTAATAGATATGCACTAAAAGTAACCAATATTGGTAAATCTGGATGAAAGCATAGGATCTAGCTAGTAATGGGGATAGGAAACCAAGAGACACACTATGGAGTCACAAGTTCCCAATAACTTTTGAACTTTAATTGTCTGACTTTACCTCAGTATAGTTTCAAAATTTATCTCAATATCAATTTACAAAAAGCTATAATACAGGAACTGTTACAACTTTCGAATGACTTAAAATGATCTTGTTTGAAAGTAGATAACTGATATATCCTGTAGCTATGAAACAGTACACACTTCTACAGTTCAACAAAATTAGAAGGCTATTCAAGAATAAAAGGTTGATATAACTGTTACTGATCTGTTTTAATTTACCTTCTCCACTAAGCAGTTTTTTTTAATGATCGAATCAGCAATAAGCCAAAAGTAGTAGTGCATTCTTATAAAATGGTAATTTTATTTGCAGCAATATATTACACGAACAACTAATTGAATTAGCAATTTAACAAAGGATAAAAATTTTAATAAGAAGAATGCTAGAAGCAGACATATTGGAAGACAAACCTGAATTTACAGTCGCAGAGAAAGGAAGCGGATCAATACCACTGCTCACAAGTGTACCCTGGAATCAACCATTCAAGGATGTCTTTAGCTTTTCGATCAAAGATGCAGTGTTTAGGAAACAAACATTTAGTAGATAAGATGGGCAATGAGAATTATCATCATACCTGTTGTCTCACTCGTTCAAGCTCTTGCTCCATTTGCATCAATTTTGAACGGCTCAACTCTAATTGCTGAATATAGACCTATAAATAACAAGTTCCAAGTAGAATTAGATCAGCAGAAAACAAGTACCACAATATATTAAACTTGTAACACTTCTCTTCCCACCTTTTTCCGCATACGACTTTTGCGAGCAGCCTCACGATTTTGTGCAAGACGTCTTTGTACCTAAAAAAAGGCAGACAAGCAAAGGAATTTCACTGGACTGGTGAAGAAAATGCATATTAGCAACAAAATCGTCTGTATGGCAAGACACTCATTTTAGTGTCCAATACATGATCTCCTCAGGGGCCAGTGAATGGCAACACATACATATATAACTACGGTGTACAGCATAAGTACTGTCACATAATCTAATGGGGTATCATCTGATAGCACAAGATGAATCATGTATTCACAGTTTGCAAGCAATTTTGGGAAAAGACTAAGTGAGGCTTCACCTTGAAACCAATTAGCAACAGAATAAGTGACTCCCTAGACTTAGAAGATGGTAATTTTGCTCTTTTTCCCCAATATAGAACAACACTCAATTGCATATATGGGGTTCAATTGTTCAAAAACCACGAATGGGAATACAAATAAAATGGGGGTTAGGCCTGAGGGAACACATACCTTGTAAAGAAATTATGTACGTCATAGTGAATTCTATACTTAAGTAAGACCAGTTAATCAGGAATGTCAGATCAGTTTTTTTTAAAACAAAATCACAAAAACAAACTTGATTTGTAGCCTAGACTTTTGGCCATGTTATTTAAACAGGAGTTTATATTTTTTAAAGGTAATGTACCTAAAGGGAGCGTGCAATTGAACTCTCAAGGTAGTCAGTAGAAGAAGTAAAGAACATGGCATTGTTTTGACAAAGAAAGTTGACATTCAAGATCTTCAGGATCAAACAAGGATAAGAAAACAGCAATTAACAAGAATTGGAATCATTAAATCAAGTTTTATGACAAACAAAATCTTGGAAGCCAACATGTTAGCTTAAATTAATAGCCCTCTGGTAAAACACTAACAGTAATTATTTTTACCTTGTCAGTAGGTTTAGATGCTTCCTGGTCATATCTGTTTGAAGGTGCCTGTCCTCCATGAGATGAAGTGTCCTCTGACTGTGAAGTTAAGAAACAAAAGGTTAAAAAACTGTGGGAGAACATTATGCGATTAATAATAGGCCAGAATGTCTGAAGTATGAAAAGAATAATGTTGATGAAATTGTACCAAGGTGTCTAGTCTCTCATTTACTTCTACAACAGTGGACGGAGATACATTTGGAAAGCCATCATCTCTGAAACTGTCTACCCATGAACTAATCTGGTGAAGAGGCTCGTATATATTCATCCTTCTTGACACTAAAAATTGAGCAGTAGGCGAATTCATGTTCATATGAAGTAAAAACGACTATCAACTTCTCTAGCTACTAAAACCAACTTCAACGGCCCAACAAATCTGCATTACCTGAAATGCATGCCTTACATCAGCTCAAAGTAAATATGAGAATATATACCAGACTTTAAATGGAAAATTCATCACAGTAAGTAGAAATTATTCACAGAACTTTTTCCAAATATATCCTTCATTATTTCTGCAGGTTAATTAAGAAATACATGTTATTTGCTAACTCAATACATGCACATGCAGCAATTTGAAAATTCTTCTTAAGATATATAAACGTGTAATTTTAGTCAATACACATGTAATTTTAGTCAAACTATAACACAAAATGCAAACTGTAAATTAAACTATCAAAGCTTTATCCCACAAGACCAGAATTTAGGTGATCAATTCTTTTCCGTTCAATCCATCCTGATCGAAAAACAAACACCAAGTTTTCACTGGTTGACAATCGTGATCACATCAATCTTAGTTCACAATATATTGCATTGCCACTTGAGCACCTGATGAAACAACCACCTTGAACAACAATCTTTAACGGAAATTACGCGTCTCAGTTGATCATTGACCAGTTACTACACCAACATATTCCCAATCAAGCTAGTGTATGTGTCTTTGTGAATAAAGCAAATCCTTCCATAGATACATCATACATGCATTAGTGAAGTCCTTCAAATCTTGAAAACCACCATCAAAATCATCACATAGACACAACACAAGACACTTAATTCGTTCTTCGGTCTTCAACTCTAAATTAAACCCTCTTCAAATCAATATTATTCCATGTGTATATATGCAATCAAACTCACATGCCTAAAATAATGATACACATACATAAAATCGCCGGTGCAATATTTGATGTAGGATAAAGAATTATACATCAAAATTACGGGGTACAAAACAAAACATTTCTAAATCCTTGTGATATTACTCAAAAATCTTTCGAAGAAGGTCGAAAAATCAAACAATATAACTTCTAACCAATTAAGTATAATATGACCCATAGGATCACATCTTAGAACAAACATGTACTCATATAACTTGGTGGAATCAATGATTATTCCCACTACCTGATGTTCTACTTCACCATTGATTTAATATCATCAAATTGACCCCAAAAACATAAATATTAACGATATTTACCATCATCACCTTCAGGTGATGAATTAAATGGACGCAACTTTACCTCTAACTCGCGTTACAGCGAATAAGTACATAAAGTTATGATTTTTAGATAAGAAATCTAAAAAACAGCAAAAGAAAATTACAATACTAATAGTAGCAGTATTTCTATTTGTAGTAATACAATAGATAAAAGCAAAAAAATAAAAGTAAGTAGTACAAAAATTAAAGTCTATGTGTATGCTATATCAAATCATAAGACAAAAGCAAATCCCAAAAAAAAAAAGAACTAAAAAAGAAAAAAGGAATCATATTATTAGTTAGCTAACTAACTAAAATAATTATCAAATTAAAGGATAAAACATGTATAAATGAAGTAACAAATTACCTGAAACTTGGAATTATCTCAAGAACATCGAGAAATACAAGGAGTATTGGATTCTAGGAAGAAATAAATGTGGGAGAATCTTCCAACGAAACCCAGAAATGGAATCCATAATTTTTGACAAGTGAGAGAGAATTAATAATAACAAGACCAACGCAAGGTTAGCTTAAAAGATACCATCACCATTATTATATTTTATTTTTTGGGTTTATTATAACCGAGTATTCTATTCTACTCTCTCCGTCTCATAAAATATGTATTCCTTACTTTTAGTGGTTCCTACAAGTCAGATAAAGGATAACAAAGACGAAACTTTAAATTAAAACTAAATTAATTAACGAGTAAGTAGCAAAAGTAGGAAGAATTTTATGAAACGGATTTAAGATTTAAATGAGAAAAGAAGAGTACTCGTAGTAGTTAACGAAATAATTGTTTAAAAACTGATTTGTCGTAAACGAAGAAAATAAGAAATAGGTGGGATGTTATAATGTAATTGGACAAGTAGTGATAATATATAATAATGTTTTAGGAAGAATTTAAAATGAAGAGGATTCATAATAATAATAATAATAATAATAGTAGGACTGTAATATTTTTGAGTTATCATTTTGAATGATGAAGTAAGCGAATGAACATACATACACATCGTTATTTTCTCTCTCCTAATTTTCTTTATTTTTATTTTTTTTTTCTTTGTTGAAATTAATAATTAAATTGCTGTTGATGTTGATGATGGCGTCATATTTCCACTTTGTTGGTATATTTATATGATCATATCATGCGCACCAGGTCAGTGATAAAATATGGTGTTATCCTACGCGCACTGGCGCATGTTAGATGACCCTACAATAGGGTTGACGTTTTGGCGGGTGGATAAGACAATTATCCACGCGCTTATTTTGGCGGGTGAGTTTTTTATGTAGTTGGGGTTCCACGTATTATGTTAGCTATATTTACAATTGTTAGGTTTCGTGATAGATTGATTGTACGTATAGTAGTGTTGTTGTTAGTTTCGTGTTAAAGATACTAATTAATGAAATAAAGTGATTGTGTTTAAGTTTTTAACTTTTACAAGTAATTTAATTAATGATTTTGAAGATGTAGATAAATCATTTGTTGATTGTATATTGTTTTATTCTATGGTGTAAGAGGTAAGGTAAGTTTAGTGAAAGTATTGATAATAATTGTAAGGAAATTTATTTATTGTATTTTATGGTCTCATCTTTATTCATTTTCATACTTATATGCTAGTTCTAGCTTGATTGTGTTACTTTGTGTGTGATATGGGTTGTCTATATTGTATTGTTGCGGTAAATCTTTAAATCGTACTCAATACATTATGTTTTACTACTATCACATACTCATAGATAGGAAGTGAACTGGACTATTTTTTCCCTTACATAGGTAAAAATATAATGTTATTGTGTATAACTTTTTCTCGTTATTTTTTTAATTATTTGTGGGATCAAAATATTTCAAGTCACATATAAATGAAAAGTTTACATGAAAATGACTAATAGGATTCAGTGGATCATTTTGTGATACTAATGAGTACTTTAGAAATTAGAATATACAACAAGACATGGCAAGTGTTACATTAGTCATACCATATCATATAAACTAGACAAAAACAATTCAATAGTTCAATTATTACCATTACCAAATTATACAAACTAATTATCATAGATCAGTCTTCTATATTCATTAACTAAACTCAATCTTAGAAATTATTTGCACCTTAATACTCTATATCAAATTAGTTGCCAAACACTTCATAACTACTCATAATTCATAAAAAGACAAAAACTTTACATACATGTATTTTTTTTTTTTTTATAATCTCTCAAATATCTCCTTTATCCAAACGCCAAATTAATCTAGGGGGGCAAATAGACTTTCAACACTAGAGAGAGTATTAAGCAATAATTAATTAATAAAATAAGTATAAAATTAATGGATAAAATTAGTTAGAATTGAATTAAAAAAGTAATAGGTGCGTGACGATCACGCATTAAGATGCGTTTAGTGTTTGATTTGAAGCTTTATATCTTAATTCTTTATGTAACAGTAATATTAGAGCAATGGTAGTGGTGTGAAAGTGGGGGTAACGGATAGTGGGATCAAAGGGCCAAAAACACTTATATTCATGTCATGACTTTTGAGTGCACAGAAGCGTCATTATGTCAATTGATCATTCTTAATTTCTAATTTTATATATGTGCTTATTCATTATTGGTTTTTCTTTTTTCCTACCGGATCAAGTGATTCATCATGCACTTTGTTTTTCTTTTTTTGGTTCTATAAAGAAAGAATTCTTTACGAAGTTATACTCTTTCACCTCGTTCTTAAATAAAATTCTCATTTTTCCTAGATACGAAGGAAGTGTAATTGGACATGCATTGATGATTATTGATTAAGGCCGGATTTAAAAAAGAAAGAAGATAGTGAAAATAGTTGATAGAGACAATACTCCACTCAAATTGAGAAATGAAGTTTTAAGGTGCGTTATATTCACTTGATTGTTTTTAATTTGAACTTAATTGAAATAGTCTGAACTTATTAAGTTAATTATAGCGTAAACTTGGATAAACCTTCATAAAACTTACTCAAAACTTAATTTTTATAAATATATCTTATCTAGACTAATTAACTCTTACTTAAACTTATATTTCTTAAACTTAGTAAAATAAAGTGAATACAAAGCCTTGAATGATACACGAATTTTAGTGACTTTTTTTAAATGAGGCAAAAGTTTTAAGATACGTAAATCTTTTTTATAGACAGTTAGAATTTATTAATTGTTTTTCTTTTACTGTTTCGTAACCCAGTTAAGCTACGAGGGGTCATTTCTTTTCATTCGTGGTCTTCGGCTTCAATCTAGGAAGAAAAACAATAAGTACAGTTTTCCTTTATATGTTAGTTAATTAATTAGGTGGTGGCCTGACTTTTTTATATTATACTCCATATATAACAAATTTTAAAAGTCCTAACTTTATTGATTCTTATAGTATTCTATCTGTTTGAATCGAATCATGTAATAAAGTCTTTTTTACAATATTTTTTTCCCCAGTTGTCTTGAGAATCAAGTTTTCTATTAGTAACAGAAATATGAATTGAACAAAGTTAGCTAGTTGTACAAAGGAATAATGCCAATCCACTTAATAACCATCTCTACTATTCTTTACAACGGTCCATGTAAGTTACAACTTCATGCCAATAAGCCACGTCTTTTAGGTTGAAGATTGATAAGTTAATTTAAGTTAAAAATAACATTAGAGTATAAGTTTGACATGTACTCTGCATAAAATATAAAATGGATTCGATTTCATTAAATTAATTTATTATGTTCATTCTTGAGATCGATGTTTAATGTCCCATAATCTTTCATGTTCGATAATATATTGATTTGATTCGAACGGGAGTTAAATCTTAATCATATTTAATTTTTAACAAGAACTTAGTCCATTAGTCATCAAGTCTTGTACGGATTATTATATATGTTTTACAAAGTATTGATATTGAACAATCTCGCATGTAATATAATTGACACTATATATTCTTGAAAAAATATATAATAGGCTGTTGGGCGTAGTCTACGCAGACTTATAAAATTTTGAATAAGTATGATTTATCTGTATCTTTATTTAATCTTATGATTTACCACCACCAGATATTAATTTAAACTATTCTAATAAGCATTGGTTATGTTCGGGGGCGAAATAAGAATTTAAAATTTTGGAGGCCTAACATGCTAGCCGCCCACCAATAGTTTGATTTAAAAAATACAAATTAATGAAAAAATAGTTTAGTGTTATGAAAAAAATATGTATAGGAATATCAATGGTGAGATAGATTAATTTTGAGAAGCTGAGACCTTTTACATGCAAATGTGAGTCTTTGACCATTGTGAGACATATGACACCTATTATATTGTGATACTAGCTTAATTAACAATGTTAAGTTGTGACCAACTTTAGAATATAAAGGACCATGGAGGCTCCCTTTAGGCTTTACCTTCACCCTTGGATATGGTAGGATCGGATGTAATGTGGCATATGGATTAGACACGTGAAACATGAGAGTGTGCCCAAGGGTTGGACTAAGTCTAAAACTACATGATCCTTACAATAAGTCAAAGTACTCCATATCTATGCTTCTTCTCTAAAAAACAAAAAATACAAATCAACCATCAAACGTAGGTGGATCTTCTTAATACAAAGGAATTCTTCAAGCCTAATGATTTACATTTATTTTTCGAGGGATTTTTAAAGATCATGATGCAATAATAAAATTGGTCAAATGTGCAAACTTTTGACTAGGACTTAACATACCATACACAGAAATTTGAACATTTGAAATTGCTCAAGTTCCTAGCTTACAGTGTAAAGTTTGATATGCATCAAGTTTGGATTTGACCACGAAGTATACCATTTTCAAATTCATTAATTTGATTTTAGCTTGTAAGTGGTGTGCATTGTGCATTCCAGTGGATTAAAACAATATTCTCTTTAAATTACTTTGAATTTAATTTATTTTTGCACATAAAAAATAGTTATTTTGTTAAAAATTAACTATTATTTGAAGAACTTTACTTATGTTGTAGAATTATTATTTAATTAGGCTCATATATTACGAGTATATGCCGAATTGACCACCAAAATCCCAAATATTTGAAATAATCACATAAACCTAATTGATGAGCATCTATGCAATAAATCAAATAAGGAAATATAAGTGCTCGTTTGGTTCACATGGGAATTAACTTTCCATGGGAATTTATATTTCATGGGAAATTTTTTCCTTATGATTTTCCTAGGAAATAAGCTAAATTATTTGGTTGACACTATAGGAAATTGTATTTCCTAGGAAATTCAATTCACCAAGGGGGGGAGTTAGTGAGTAATTTCCCATGGGTTGTGGGAATTTGTATTTCCCTTAAAATTGCTACTTTCCATGTTTACCTAATTTCCCTCCAATCAAACACACCTTCATTTTAATACTTCCTAGGAGATTCTATATTCTATTTCCAAGGAATTTATCTTCCAACCAAACAACACAAGTAGAGTATACAAATGAAGCTTCAATTTGGTCAAGTAGACCCAAGTTTCAGAATTTAGACAAAGTGTGAGGCTAACCTTAATTTGATAATTCTAAGCATAAAAATAAAAAAAGGTAGTTTGAGACGAGACATGACAACAAAAAGATATCAAATTTGAGTAGAGATTTTTGTTATGGGCGAGGAGATGATGCATGTACGCGCAAATAAAGTGGGCTTTTCTTGTAACATTACAAAACCATCTTAGTACGATATAAAACGCAACATAACAAATAATTAATGGAGAAAATAGCTTAAATACTCCATACAATTAAATGTTGCTCAAGCGAGTGATCAGCCGGCAGTATTTAGCTAAACGTATCATTAATGGATAAAGTTTGACGATAGCTATTTTCACATAATATGTTAGAATGTGATACGTTGCTAAAATTATTTGTCTATAATCGTAATGTTTAGCCTTTCCACCCTCTTAATAGTTGAACTTCAATTTTCCACTCAAAATGGTATTGAACAAAATGTCATGATATTTGAGTTAGAAAAGTTTGGCAATAAACTTCCTTTAGTTAGCATTAAACGAGTCATTTATTTGGATTTGGGTTAGATTAATTTGAATTGGTTTGTATTTGGATGAGGGGGCATAACAAATCTGAGTTACTTTCGGTCAAGTAGTCATTCATTTTTGGGTCATATCATATTGGGTTTAATTTCGTTCTTGAACAATTCATACCATCACACTTCGTACTTAAATTCAATTGTGAGTCAGTTTTGACGGGTCTATCTAGACGTCTACCAACCGTCTAGTGCCAAGTAGGTGAATAGTTCGGAGCCGTATCGCATTCCGCCAACAGCGTATTCTTTGCGTGGAGCAACACACTAGTTCCGAAACCCAAGTGATCGGGCCGTTGAATCCAAAATTCAATTCATAAAATTTCCGATTCTCTCTCATCGGAAAACGAACACAATCACAGCTTCAGAGTAGAGAGAAAGAGAGAGAAGCTTCGACCTTCAAGAAACCCGTCAATGGCGGGCAACGCAGATGATGACGATGCAGCTCCTCTCATAATGTCGCCGCCATCTCCCATTCTTCCTACGGCCGCGATCGACATTGAAGCTGGTCCTTCTGAACAAATTCAATGCCGTATTTGTCTCGAAACTGACGGTCTCTTTCTCTCTTCTATTTTCTAGGGTTTCATGTTGATAGTCAACTTGGTCAATTTTTTCCAATTTTGCTTTGCGTTCACTGATCTTTCACAATATCTCGATTGTTAATCTGGAAATTGGCACTTTTATTTTTGTTTGTTACAATGCGTTTGTTTATTTTTCTGTTGTTGATGATCTCTGGCGTAATTTGAAATTGAATTTGGTGGATGTTGGGTTGATTTGGTCTAGAAATGGCGTGAATTCAAGAATCAAGCTTGATAATACTGTGATGTGATCATGATTTTTAATTTTCCAGCATGAATGATGTGAAGTGTTATATTGCTGATGGTTGTTTCGTTCGAAGCTTATGATTTTGTTGATTTGAATGGATAATTTTGGTTTTGATTGCTTGGACTTTTTTGTTATAGAAATAGAACTGAAATAATGCGTTGATTTTCTCAGGTAGAGACTTTATTACTCCATGTAAGTGCAAGGGTACGTCAAAATATGTACACCGAGAATGTTTGGATCAATGGCGAGCTGTGAAGGTATGTCATGGTTGTTGGCTTCCCTACTACGGAATCCCATTTGTGTAGTGCTTGATGCATTGTACTTCTAATTTGTCTCGTAATCGTCTTTATGGTCCTTTTATATCTTATTATTACTTCCTCCTAGTTTAAGTTTTATACCACCAACACCCCCACCACAAATGTTACTGGCTTTAGTATGCAGGATGAGTACAGTTTGTCTCTACTAGAAATTCCAGATGTGAATATTAGTTGCTATTAGGGAAAAGTTAGATACTTAGATTAGTAGTGGGTGCTGTTTTAGGTTTCTATTGTTGTATACTTGTATAGAAATTGGGAATTTTGATTCCACAATTTTGTGGAAGTATTACCTTATGAAAAATATTGTTCTGTCTATTCTGTTCGAAATTGGCCGAATTTTGATTCCACAATTCTGTGGAAGTATTACATAATGAAAAATATTGTTCTGGCTATTCTGTTTGAAATTGCTTGATACAGGTATGAATCTATTATTAATTTGGGATTGCTCAGAATCTCAACCATGATCCATGACTGAGTCTTCTCGTCCTGGTCTGATTGAAACCACCTCTAGTTGGGCCTATAACTTTTGCAGGCATGGTGGCAAATTAACATGACATGAATGAAGTTAGTTGACTCAGTCAGAGTTTGATGAACCAAGTCCCAAATGAGTTCTTAAAAAATTTGTAATTGGGAGCTAGAGATATCCAAGTGAGGGAATTGATTATAATTGACATGATGTGAAGAAAATTCTTAATTGAACTTGATTTCTTCAAGTTTCTATCGAATTCACCTTTACTTTTTAGGAAGACTTACCCTTTGTTGCACTTCTCCGATTATTTTCTAGTTGTATTTTCCTTTTCTAAATTAATTTTGTCTCATGTAATTGTCCCAGTCATAATTTTTTTTTTCGTTCAGTGTGGACTTTTTCTTGGCTGAATTGATGTTTGAGGTTTTGAGTTTCTCGCTTCCATTTTAGGATATGGGCATAATATTGTGTGAGCATCCAATGTGGCTTATGTATTAGTGTAATTCAGTTTACTTATTAGTGAGATAAGCCTATGAGTATTTAGTGGCACGTTACTCATGGATTATCTGGACTTCCCCATCTCATATTGTATGCATTTGTTGTATGCAGGAAGGGTTTGCGTTTGCCCATTGCACTACTTGCAAGGCTCCTTATTATCTGAGGGTTCATGCTCTTGCTGACCGAAAATGGCGGACCTTGAAATTTCGGTTTTTCGTGACGAGAGATATTCTGTTTATATTTCTAGCTGTTCAGCTTGTAGGTCACCCAGTTGCTGCATCTATTTCATTTATTTATTTATTATTATTTTTTGAATCTTCTTATAGTTAAGATCATTACACATTCTGATTTTGTCCAGGTAATCGCCTCACTGGCATATATAGTCTATATGATTGATGGCTATCAAGATTTTTGGCTACAGCTTTATTGGGGCTTTGATAAACACTTCAGCTTTTACTACATTTGCGGTAAAGTTTCCGGATTCATTTGCATTCTAGTCCCAAGAGTTACTTATTTGCTGATGGGTTGTCATTATACTTCGTATGATTTTTGAAATGGAATGCTGTTCGTATGTGCCTTGTTTTTTCTGTGATGGACTTTAGGCAAATGATATTTGACAACAAGGAGACAAAATTTGACATGTTTGAGACTTTATGTACATGTAGACGGCCTCCAAAAAGTATTTTAGTTATATGTTAAATAATAATTATCTAAATTGTTGAAACACAATTATTTAGAGCTAATACCAAATTTTGGTCCATGGTATGCGGCTACTGTGAAGATAAATTTATGTTTGCTGTTTATGGTGGAAAATTGTATTGGAAATGGCATTAATATTTCTGCATAGGCTGGTTAATTTGGCAATCAAAATTAGGAGGTAGAAAGTCATTGTGAAATAGATAGCGACACGTATATGAATTCTTTATCTATGGTATACCTTTTCATGATTTCAAAGTCATGGTTGAATCCTATCCAGTGGTTAGTCTGCTGTTGCAATGTCACTTGCTAATCATCCTGCTGAGGGATGATATCTTATATGGAGTATATCTCTTGCGGGTTTGCTCATAACTAGTGTGAAGAAACATTGGCTTGATATTTAGCCTTATGAACCCTTTATAACGTGTATAAAATTATATTTCTTTTCGAAGCCACTGCATATCTGTGTAAAATCTCTTTAGGTCATTACTCCGTAAACCTATACTCATTAGCACATGATCAATGTGGATTCGTCCATCTTAAAAGTCTTACTTGCCTTTTATATTTTATTATTATCTATGTGAGAAGGTGTGAAGGAAATATTTTTTGGAAATCTAATTATCTAGTTATATGATGCTTGCATTTTCTTTGTCACGTCATTAAACATATGCAATATGTTCTGCTCATATTGTGCTTCATGGCTTTCAGGTGCTCTTTTGTTTTTTGCTTTGCTTGGTTTATCGGGTTGTTTCATAACTTGTTATGATAGAAGGGTGCGAAATGATCTGGCACAACCTTGTCGAGAACTTTGTCTTTGTTGCTGCCATCCAGGGTATGCCAGTTAATTTCTTCTTCTTCTTCTTCTTTTTCTTCTTTTTTTTTTTCTTCTTTTTTTTTTCTTCGTTTTTTTTCTTCTCTCTAAATTCTTGTTATACCATTAGCTTGGTGTTTGTGGTCATATGTTACCGATTTTAAAACTTAGTTGTATGGAAAAATTATATGGAAATATATAGTTAAAATGCTGCTTTAAGAAGTATTTTTGCCTTTTGTACTTACAAACTAGCCCTTCATAGTAAGTCAACAAAGCCAATTATTTTCAGTAGTGGATGTATGAATTATGATTATTTACTCATTTGTTATTTGGATATGAACATTCTCATTAGCATGGAATAGAGGATATATTAGGTAAAAGGGACCAAATATTTAAAAGAAATCAAGTGCAAAAAAAGAGATTGAATCCTAATCACATGCTACCCACTTATATGCCACAACAAAAGTATTTGGAACTTGTGTGCCCTCCACAAAGGCATTCTTGCTAGAAACTACTATGGATAATTGGGGGTTTTGGGGGAGAGAGAGGGGGGGATTGCCATCTGGAAACCATGACCTCATATTGTCACTGAACTTGTCTTCTTTGAAGGAAAATATCACACAGTTGATAACTTGCTGTATATATTGAAACTGCAAATAGCAACTTTTGCCCTTGTCAATATCATTCAGAATGATTTTTTTGGAGGGGATCTACAGGTTTTTTTTTTTTTTTTTTTTTGCATATTGAATTATTGACTGTTATAATGTGCATTTTAATTTAAATAATTTTATTTTTTATTTATGATGCACAAGATCATGCCCTTTTAAGCTAGTGCCTTGCTAGACTTGGGCAGGATGTTTAGTGATTGGGCAAAGAATTTTTTGAACATTTAGCTAATATCTGTTCCTTTATGTAGACTATGCGCAGACTGTCATTTACCTGGAACGCTTTGTATGTGGACTGACTGTACTGCATGCTGTCAAGGCTGTGCCAGTTCAATTGGTGAGTGTGGTAGCTGTTTGGGAGGTGCTGGAGAAGCCGGATTACCGTTGTTGTTTATAATGGCTCTGATTGTACTGGGGCTGTTCACGGTGATTGGGATATTCTACAGTGTACTTGTGGCCACTATGGTTGGTCAACGAATTTGGCAACGACACTATCACATTCTTGCTAAAAGGATGCTTACAAAGGTGACATCTCCTTATCAATTTAGTGACACGTACGCATATAATGGTGATTCATTTTAAATTTTGATAAGAGACAGCTAATTGAATATTTTGCAATTATATTATACATTGGAAGTTTGCACTGGACTGTTGACATCCTAGTAAGCTTTCTTGTATGGATTCATTGTGCTAGAAATCAATATTTCATGTAAGTGGTGCTGCTAATTAGAATTTAGAGTTAGTTTAGTTTTGATACAAATGCTTCTTGATGGAATATATTATGCATTAATTAAGAAATGGTCTCAAGTTGGTTTAGGTCTAGGCATGCAAATCTCAAAGCTGATTATTTTCTTTATTGAGGGTATTGAGAAGCTGCTATTTGTCTTGTGTCTCATGTTGCCAATATTCTTTTTTTTTTTTCCCTTATTCGCACGTCTCTTTTTGTAGTTCTCAGGCATCATTTTTTTTTGTTTGGTTTGGGAATCATGGGATAGAAGAAGTGCGTTAAGATTAGAAATTTTTTCTTCCAAACATTCTATTCCAGGCAATTTATGACTAATGAGATGGTTTCGCATCTGTATTGAGTTGTGTAATTCAGTCTGTAATTCTGTATCAGTTGACTCTTCTGATAGCAACTTGTTTTTGGGTATAAATATTATTCTGAGATCACTTTTTGTGTTTAAATTAGTGAATAAAGGTTACTAGGCTGTTCAGGTCAGGAGTGGGGGCCGTGAGTGGCTTCCGGAAATTATCTTGTTGGTTCTACTATGGCACTAAGCACTTAAGCATGTATGGTGATGATGTGGATCTTTTTTGAGGTAACTGCAGAGTAGAATAGGGATGAAGCAAGAGATACGAGTGGAGGAGCGATATATGCTTCATTGCCATTGGCAGTGGGAAACAGTCACCAAATGAAAAATCTATTTTGTAATTTTGAAACTGTATTCACCCTCTATCTTGAAATAGTTCTTGCCTTGCCGTTGATTTAATATATAAGAGCTCTTTGCCAGCTATTTTTGTCCGCTTTTGGGTATTAGGCATAAAGATGAAGCTGAGAAAGGTGCAAATTTCAATATTACTAGTTTTTCACATGAATAATTTTACACCATGGCTGGTTTTAATTGCAACCTGTAAGATAAACGATAGCTGGTTCTTAAGCGATATATACACATGGGACCAAAGTTGGGGTATCTGTTTCTAGCCCCTAGGCCACCTGGGTGAAATATATCCCTGAAATCTATATAAGTCCTATTAGCACACAAACTCGTAATCTCAAGTTTGGAAGGTGGTGGAACTATCACTCATCACAACATGTGGCTCATGTTTTTGGTGGTAGATGGGATGGTGGAGCATAAGCTTTTGCTTATAAAATTCTTATAGACTTAATTTCCTTCTGCAAATGAATGCTTTGTTGTGTTTAAGCTCTTTTTTTTTTATTTTATTTTATTTTATTAAACTTTCTCCTTGAAATGGTCTCCAGGAGTATGTAGTTGAAGATGTAGATGGTGAGTTGCCAGGATCTGATTGGACTCCCCCTCCTCTCCCACCAGAGCATGTGCAACAGCTTAAATCTCTTGGGCTTTTGTAAGCTAATTTAAGAGAAGCAGGTAATGTTGTATTAGAAATTTAGAATGTAATATGGATGGCCAGTCAACTGATATATTGCTAATTCGTCATAGCAGTGTTTCGAAGAGAGCTCGACGTTTATTTTGTTTGATCATATACTAGGTGGTCGAATGATCCTTTATGGGAACAAACTTTGGTGATGGTTTTCACTTGCTCTACTGTCAGTACAGGTATAATCTGTTACCATGCACATACCGAGTTACCAATATGCATTACAAAATGATAGATTGTCATCTTTTGGCACATGAAAGTGCGATAGGTTTCATACAAGAGTATCTGGTTTGGGAAAACAATTGTAATGTCTTCTTGATAAAACTATATTGGCTCTATCTTTGGGGCTTTTCTGAGGGGTTAACAGTGCAAGTGTTCTGGTGTTTGTTTCCTCTTTTTTTTTTTTTTTTTTTTTTTGTGAGAATTTGATGCTGACAACTCCTGTAGATGTACATGTAGTCTATTAGTAACAACCATTGTACAAGTAGATTTTTCCAAGCCAAACAAAAGGGAAAGTAGTGACCAAGTGAACTACGCATTCAAGATTTACCCAAATTATGTATCGAACTATTGGGTAATTTATGTATTGAAATCAGTAACTTGCTTCAATGATTGCGTTTCCTCTACGTTTTTTTTTTCCCTCTCCATTTAGACAATGAAAGGTACAAAATGAAACTATAAAGCTGTGAATTGCGCAGTCAATAACTATCAATGTACGTACTACTACTTAGTTCTAAATTGTCATCGTTCTATCATGCACCAGTGCACCACCTTGAATTCCCATCTACCTGAGTACCAGCTCCCTCTCTCTTTCCAACTATCAAGGTTGCTGTTCCCTGTCATGTTAACCACTCTTCTCTTGGTCCCTTCACGTCAACTCCCCAAATTACTGCTTCCTGTCGCCCTGGAAACTAGTACTGTAAATTTAGAAAAAAATAAAGTAAAAAAATCAGCAGGGTGGAGAGAAGTGAGGGGGAGAGGGTAGGATTCATGTTCAGCCCGTGGACCATTATTGGCATTACATTCTTTCGATTTTGTTGGAACCATATTAGACCGGAATCTCTCATAGAACTAGAATGCCGTGTGACTTGTGTTATTGTGTAGTTATATTCTTAGAGCGATATGTTAAAATAAAAACTTACTATACAACCGTGATATTTGCATGTACTAGTAAGAGTTTGTAGACCCACTTGGCAAATGTAGAAAGAGGTGCAGACTGCACTCTCCGCAGAACAACACCCAAAACTAAAAAATTATAGTATATACTCGTATGGTACAAATCGGAGGGAACAAATTCATACCCACCATAACAGCCCACTGGAATACACATGCAACTGCTCCCAACAGTCTCTATCCATTCAAACATGAGCACGATTTTCCTTGCTTTCACTTATTACGATCAATTTTAAGATAATTTGAGCCATTGAGGTGAGGAAGGAGGAGGATTTGGAAATTTCTATCCAAAGTGCTCTAAATGGAGTTTGATCACAGGACTTTATAATCGTGAGATACTGAGTACTTTCTTTGTTTTTTTCAAGTGTCCCAATTTGATTGACGCACCTACCAAATTATACAAGTTAAACATGTAAATAATGAAAAAGAATTAAAGGATGGCCGTTAATTATACTATTTCGATATGAAATTATTTATACTAGTGTAAAAGTTAAACTGACGCACTTATAAAAACACTGGTCAGTGCTGAGTGGGTGTACAAACCTTATCGATGGGCATCCACCGGATACCGAAGAACACGTTTGACGTCATTGATAGCATCCACCGTATGCATGCACATTGGTAAACAAGAAAATGGGCGGATGACCAGAACCATTATCCAAATACCATCGTCCAACTAACAATATAATAATATACCAAATTAATACAAGTAATTGACAAAAGCCAAGTGCACGTTGAATTTTTCCAACTTTTTCTTAGTCTTATCCATAATTTTCACCGACTATATATATACTCAACCAATTTGCTTTGTTTCCTCATCATAGTACACATAATTATCTCCTAAACAAGTTTTAAACAAGTAATTAAGTTTGTGTTCAAGCTAGAAAAGATATGGCAGATATTGCTATGTTAGTTGCTGAAGAGTATGAGAGGAGGGTGAAGATGATGAAGAAGATAGGTGCTGATGAAGCGAAAACGACGTCGTATTTGGCTTCAATTGAAAGGTTGAAGGAATACAAATTGTTCGATGAAACCCACATACAAATTAAGGTTGTTGATCCAAAAAGTGAAGTGGGTGTTGCTGCTCTTGATGGGTCATTTTCTGCTTAGTTAAGAAATTATTGTTCTGTTTTTTTCTTCCTTTTCTTCATTTTGGTGTACGTAGTTGTAATTAATTGTTCATGTTAATATGTAATCTTAAAGTTGTATTGATTAGGTTGTTGAATCTTGAATCTGAAGAAAAGGGTTGGATTAGTTTCATCTTTGGATGGTTATTATTCTTTACTTCTTTAGTCGTAAATATGTTGTCATATACAGATTTGATTTTTTTTGGTGTTCCACCCATTTCATCCTTTGAGCTAATCCGGATTCGAAAATCACTTCAACGACCATATTTATCTAATTTCACAATTTGTTAAATGTTGGTGTCAATTTTTAAAATACATTAATATTTTCCCTTAAATTACTTGCCTAAGCACTGAACAATTACTATCTTCATTCAAATCTAGTTGTTACGGTACATTCTAATCAGTGTTAATATTGAATCGAGTGAGAGATTATGATTTCAGTTTTAGTACAAGTTTTTTTTCGTGGTGGTAAACTAGAAAGTGGTACTAATAACTAACACACAGTTTTTCAAGTCTTAATAATTTATGATACTCTTTCTAGTTACCTTCTTCGTATTAGTTAATAATGGTTTATTCGACAAGATTCGACTCTATCTACATTACTTCTAATTAAATTAATGAGAATAAAATATACAATTATATACATATGATGACAAGTTTAATGTTACATTAATAAATAACACCATCCAACACATAATTTTGTGATAATTCTTAAACTAATAATTATTGTATCGTTATAAACAGCAATGCTTATAATCCTACATTATAATGGATCTTGCTAACAAACGCCTCCAGAACGTTAGATAAGCATTTAAAAATTACCTAAAATGGTATTAATTAAGGAATATAAGACAAAATCACACGTTGATCGGTGTATTTAATATTCATTTTAATATTATATTTCTAATTTTAGTTATTTTATTATCTAACGGTCCCTAGGACGTTCGTTGGCTTTTGTGCATTATAATTAGTGTTATCTTTTGTGGGGCCTTTTGAAAAAAAAACCAATTTTAATTAAATATAATTAGGAAAAATAATATCAACATCTTCACAAAAAAAAAAAAAAAAGTATCTTCTCTTCTTTCTTCCTCAACAACCTTCTACAAAAATACGCAATCAATATTTTCTCTCTCCTCCCGTTTTAATGGCGGACAATAACCAACAACCACCAGTAGTTCTAATCACTGGTTGCTCAGATGGCGGCATCGGAAACGCTTTGGCACGTGCTTTTGCGGCGGAAAACTGCCACGTGGTAGCCACTAGCAGATCTCTGACAACCATGTCATCATTGGAACAAGATCCTCGTATTACAGTCAAAGAACTGGATGTGTTATCCGAGGATAGCATAAATCACGTGATTTCCAGCATTTTGGATAAGTTTGGAAGGATTGATATTCTTGTTAATAATGCTGGTGTTCAATGTGTTGGTCCTCTTGCTGAGATCCCTATTTCTGCTATGCAACGAACATTTGAGAGAAAATACAAGTTGATATCTGATATCAACTTGTATTGTTAATATCAAGGGCATTTCGGTCTATTTTCCATTTATATGATGGGCAAATTGGTATTTCCGCAGTTTACATGGCTCTTCCCGTAATGAGTTCCCCGTTTTCTCCAATATTGACGTTAACGATGGACGTTAGTTTATTTTCTCTCATTGGAAAGGTCGCAACTCATTCTTCAATGGTTAAACGAGGAACGCAGACCTCAATTCCGGCGCCACTATACCGAAGTATCTGATACTGAGACGTTCACATAGTAATGCAGGTGACATTGTTCCGTTTGTATTCGAAGTGGACTGGACCAATGGTGGTGAATTTTGCCGGCGACGACATGGCTGCCTCGGTTAGTTTGATTTCGTAAAATTAGGTGATTGAACTTATTGAATTTGGATATTGTTGTATAATTGATGATTATCGATTTGTACTGGAGTATTGGAATGTATGTGTGGATGCAATTAGGATTTTAAGCTTTGTTATTCCTGATTATCAATCATGATAATCATAGAAATTGATGGTATTCAACTAGGATTATAAGTTTTGCGATTGAATTGTTCAAAATTTAGATTGACAACATTTCTCCGATTAGATATACACCGGATAATTTCGTAGCCTAGATCCAACTTCTGATTTGTGTTTTTGTGGAGATTAACCTGGAGCTAACAGAATCATCTTCGTTTTCTCTCTCATTAAGTTTTTTGATTTGATTTTCTCTCTCCTCCAACCCAGATCTGAGTAAAGTAAAGGGAGTAAACGTCGTTACTCTTCCCGTCAATTGAAGATCCGTAACATGTTTTGTAAAAGAAATGAAAACAACGAAGCCTAACTCAGCTTTCCAATACTTTATGAATACTTTCCAAAAAGTTAGCCTATTATTTACGAGACTGCCATTATATTAACATTTTTTGTTGATATCTGATATCAATGGGGACAGCCTCAACATTTGATACCAATGTTTTTGGTAAAACATCGAGTTTTTGCGATTGTATATTTAACAACTACGACTGTCTGTTCACTTTTAGTTGCAACGTTTGAAATTTGTTATTTCGTATATTTTCATTTGACCGCATTTGGTGATTTATATCTATCACTTAAGACTAAACATAGTCGGGAGACTTTTGTTAGATTCATTTCAATATATGTTTTCATAATTTTTTTTGATATTTTTTAGTGATTCTGTCATTAGAGGTCTAGAGATGTGAAGGGTTTAAATTATGTATTGGCAAATGTGGGACTCAAAGCGTTGCAACTAAAAGGGAACGGAGGAAGTATGAAATGTAAACAGGTCTGTCTGATTGAGTTATAATACTGTATGTTTTATATGAACAGGTACCATGAGATTGATACAAGGGGTGGTTCCGAACATGGCGTTGAGAAAAAAGGGAAAGATAGTGAATGTTGGGAGTGTTACTGTATTGTCACCTTTACCATGGGGAGGTGTTTATACAGCGTCAAAAGCTGCTATACATGCTCTTTCAGATTCTCTAAGGTTTGTGCTCATATAAAGTTGTATTTGTTATTCATTCGAGCAGTATGGTAATGATGCAATTAATTTGAAATTACTGAACTAATTAACTGGTATCATCTGAGAGAAATTGCCTATTAGGCACTCTAATAACCTACAGGCTACAGATTTGTTAGAATGGTGATTAGCACCCTTATTAAATCAGCTGCGTGGATATGGGTAGGCCGGTTAGAGGGTTAGTGTGTTCTGAGCTAGGTACAACCTTGGAGAATAACTTTGTTAGATTAGAGATAATGATAGCTACTTTTCATGCTAGAAGTATCTCTGAGCTCAAAAGCTGTCAGAAAAGATTACAGAACTTTCTGACAAATTGTGCTTGTAGGTACGGATATTCTGTCTGAAGTACAGTTGGTATCTCACTCTCTCAGTCAACATTTGGTAGAATTCAGAGTTTAAGCTTTAGGAAACAGTAATATGGACTTTATAAATGATCTAACTGTAAAACTTGTGAGCAGTCACGTATGTTCGAATCCCTAGACTCCCAGTACACGCAGCAGTAATGTAACTTCATAATGTGATCTGAATGTAAAAACTCTTGAGCAGTTTGGTATCCTCGGAGGTCTGTTGGCCTTCTGATGCTCGAGCCTAACAGAGGTCTCCTTATTGCGTCACTCTGATAGGAATCATAGGATCATCAGCCTTTTTCCTTTTTTTTAGTCCTGTTTTATGAGCCCCTTTCCCATGTTTGTAAAAAAGTCAGAAATTTGGTGATTATTGCTTGAAAATCTTGCCATTAACGGCCTAATAGAGTTTGATGTCAATAAACATGCTAGAAAATACGAGGAGAAGAATTTGTAGAACATTGAGTTTTCTTTTGGGGTTATGTCCGTTTGTAGTTTGTACATATCAAATGACTGCTAGAAATCAATTGTATTATTGGCCTAGAAAAAGTTGTTCACTATTAACTTGTAGTCTTCTACTCCATTGCGCAGGTTAGAGCTTGGGCTTTTAGGTATTGATGTTATCATTGTTGTACCTGGTGCTATCAAATCAAATATAGGGAACACCGCCATTGCTACCTATAGCCAATTTCCAGAGTGGAAGCTATACAAGCAATATGATGCAGCTATACGCGAAAGAGCTACCATTTCCCAGGGCCCTAAGTCAACACCAGCAGAAGAGTTTGCAAAGAAAACTGTCACTCAGATAATGAAGAAAAAACTGCCTGCTTGGTTCTCCTATGGCCATCAGTCCACTGTGATGAAAATTATGTATTATATGCCAATCTTTGTCCGGGATTTCATTATGCGGCTTGTAATGAAATGCTGATTTGTTAGTATAAGAATTTTGTATTACTCCTTTTAACGTTGATTGATGCCTCCATTGATCATAGCTACGCGAGTCTGGTGATCTGGTCTAGTATTCTGCTCACCCAAAGTTTCTCAACAATCTTGGTGTAATCATCCTGCCTTATGGCGAATTACCAGCAGGCTCAGGTGTCATTCGCTTCACAAAAATTGGGTTACCTTCGCTGCCTATCAGGACAATAACAGAGGATCAAAGGAAGCCTCGCTTTTGTTAGTTTATTTAGCAAAAAATTGAATGCATAACCACAAGGGTACCTTCAAAATTATGTTCATAACTTATTTTGAAATAGTGTTTGTACCAATATAAATGATCAATTAATCCCCTATTAACAAAAAAAAATTATTAGGGTTTTTTCTTGGTTCCTTTTAGAGTTTCTCTCTTGTGAGGGTTTTCCTAGCCTCCATTGCTAGATTTTTTCTGTTTTTTTTTAAGGTTTTCTTCTCTCTTTTCTCTCCATCTCCTTTCTTCTTGGTCTCAATTGTGAATCGAAGCTTCTACTGGTAACCAAAAAACATTTTAATTGCTTTCACTAAATAGATCTCATCCTTGTGATGATGATTTTTCTCTTGTGTTTTTTTTTTTGTTTATATGACGAGAATTATATGTTAATGCCGAATGACTATATTTTATTAATGAAATCCTTTTCTTGTCAAAAATAAAAAAAAATAAAAAAATCATTAAGTTCGTTTAATCCATCAATATTCCATAACTAGATGAAGCCCGTGTATTTTTTTGCAACTTATATTCGCATTTAATATTTTTATTTTATTTATTTTAAAATAAATTGTGAATTTTCTCTCATTCATTATATATTAAGATGAATTTTCTAATATGAAAAGATAATATTTTATATTTAATTAATTTAAATTTTAAAATTTCATTCGCCAATTTTACTTATGACATTTGAATTATTTAAGCCTAAAAGAAATTACAAATTTCTTATTTAATTGGAATTAATGCCTATTTATAATAATAACAAATCATAAGATGTAATCAATTCATAATAAAGTTTATTATTAGATATGGTAAATTTTGTTAACACAGAAGTTAATCTTTAAGACGAATAAAATATATTTTTATAAAATATTTTATTATAATCACTTGTCATATTATTATTTTTATCTAATCTATTTTTTTTTTTAAATATCAATTGAACGTTAATTTCATTTTTTTAAGGTTAATAGTATTTTTTTATATATATGTAAATGTAAGAAATAAAATAAATTGTTTCTTTTCTCTTAGATAAAATTTTCAATTTAAAAAGATAGTATTTTATTTTTATAATAAATTTAAATTTTTAACTTTAATCTTACGTGGCGCTTCAAAATAACAATCCTACGTGTATACATAACGCTCTAAAAATACTAATTTTTTAAAATTCAAAATCCTATGGCTCTCTAAAAAAAACTCCCCTATATATATATAAATATATATATATATATATATATATATATATATATATGTATACTAGTTTTGTGCCTGGACGATGCCCAGATGTTTGATAAAATTTTGAAATAATTTATTTACTTGAGTGTTAAATACGGTCAAATAATTCGTTCTGATAATGTAGGATATTTAAACATATGATGTCATATGGCTTATATTTATATAATAATATTTTTTTTGTAGTTTTGTTTATAAAGTTACTATTGACTTGAAATTATTTTTATTGAACTTAAATTATTTTTACTAAACTGAAAGTATTTTTTACCAAACTAAAATTAATTTTAACGAATTCTATATTATTATTTAAAATTAATTAAATAACAATACATTTTGTAAACGGCTAGCCACACCATCTAGCCGGACAAAGTAACCTCTATAAAACCGATCGAGTAACCCCTGTAATACTAACTGATTAACCTCAAACACTGACTAAGTAACCCCTATCTATAATACTGATTGAGTAACCACTACAACATTGACTAAGTAACCCCTATAACACTAATGAAGTAACTCTTGTAATCGTTGGTGACACGGTTAGGCTAGCTACATATAAAAGTTTGTGATTAAATATATTATAAATGAATCTTATTTTATAGAACTTTTTAAAACGAATTTGATGATGGAAATAAAATTGAGTTATAGAATATTTATTAAAAGTTATGATTAATTTTGTATATATGAAATATTAGAATTCTCATCGATAATAAAACTCTATACAACATTTTTATCTTAAAAAATCTATCCAAAAATCGGTTACTTAGCACTATATGTGTCACAATCATACCTATTTCTCCTACGTGGCGTGACATTTGGCGAAAAACTAGAATGTCAAGTGTCGCTGCCTCGTGGTCTGACTGCGAGACCGGCTTATTGTAATTTTTTTTAATCAGGAGCAATATTGTAGTTAAACGAGTTATAAATGAACAAAATTTACTCGTAGGACCTTTAATTCAAGAGTGAGTCAAGTTCTAACAAACGGATTACAAATGTAGCTAAAGATCGAGATTTAAAATCAGAAAACATGGGCATTAGATACAATCTTAGACTCTGTATACGAGAGTAGTAATACGAGTACATAACATAATAGCTATTTGGCTAATGCTTACCCGGCAGGGCCAGCACCGTGCTTGTTTCCTTCAAAGTTCAACTCTTTAATCTTTATGAATGTGTAACACCGTTTGAGATCTGTGAAACTACTTGATTATTTCGAACATTTCTATCTCATCACCAATCACATTAGTTGCCTTGCTCAGATACTTACATATTGGGTGAAGAACGAAATTATTCAAATTTTAAAACAAATAATGGTTAAAAAATTGTCACAAATTTCTTAACTATGAGAGCAAATCCAGCACCAAATAAGTCAACTTAAGTTTTCCAAACTATGTGCTATATTTCCCTATTATCAATAAAACTACCTAACCAAATATGCTTTTTATGCATACTAATACTTTAACACTAATTAAGGTTAGCAACTGGGAAACTATAGGGACCGAAATCCTAATCAGGCTTAATTAGTAATTACACATTACACAGCTCTACCTGCACTGAATCAACAGTCAAGAGCTACTATCCTAGTACCATTATTCCTTCCTGTATTTAATGTATGAATAAAAGCTCAACCTTTTTCCAACTCTCATGTCCCCCTTCTGAATGAGGACATCTTTGAACAAGGGAATGCTTCAATAGGGAAAAAAGGAGTCCATCTAAAATAATTATCACAAACAAATTTGAGAATCCCCATCATTGAAGCTGATGGGTTTGTGTATAATACACCATACCAGGTGGTTGAAGAGGACGAAAACTTGGAGGAGCTGGTGGTTGCTGTTGCATCAACATCATTGATTGTTGTTGTGACAATGGAGCTGATTGTTGTGCCATTGGCATCATCTGCTGTTGATTCATTTGCATTTGGTTTTGAGCCATAGGCATCATCGGATGCATGACATGAGGTGGTGGTGGGCCTGGGGGAGGAAGGCCCCCATAACCATAAGAATTGATCCCTCTTGGTGTTTGGGCATACTGTTGGGAAGTTGGATTTGAAAGTAACTGATACTGGGTCTGAGGGTTTGGGCTCATATTTTGCATGTTTTGCTGGTTCACCAACATTGATTGATACTGATTCGGGGGAGCAGCTGGCAGTGAAACTGATGGTGGCTGCTCCTGCTTTGACATAGAATTAAGGGCCGAACTGACAGATTGTGAGGGATAAGAACTCGAAACTGAGTTTGTTTTAGCAAGGCCAGCTTTCTTCTTAGCTTCTTCAGCTGCAAATGTTGACAGGACAGAAGTCATGATCAACTGAGATGAGCTAGAAGCAGTGAGTTTGTCAGCAACCTCAGCTGCAATGTCTGCAGCAGTCTTCTTGGATTTTCCCGCGTTGGCATTTGGAGTTGCAACATAATTTTCATCATTGAGCCGCTTTCGCATGTTATTAGCCTCCTCAGCTTGTGCTTTTGCAACCTGAACATAAAGATAATCCAGTTATTAATGAATTTACTTTCCAGAATCAAAATCATCAAATCTCTCCACCTCATATCAGCTCAACACAGCTGCAAGTCTGGAAGTAATAGTTAGTGCCTTAGTGGTGGCGTGGTAGGTAAGGCTACCAACTTTTCTTTTATATCTAACATATATAGAGCATAAAAAATAAGTCCAAATATAATGAAATAAGAGAACATGAGGGTCTTTCAAACATCAACTACAGGACATCTATTGAGGCCATGAGGGTCAAAGAAGCAGAAGAGTAAAGCTCTGTTCTAACTTATAAAATAAATTTCAGCAAAAGGGATGAGACATACATAATACTTACAAGAGTTCCCACCAAGAGGATCAGGGATAAGATATACAGAATACCCAATCAAGTTCTCACCAAGAGGATTAATGTTGAGAGATACAGGACAAGCCTAAATTCTGCAAAAGCAGAGGCAGCTATATGCATACAAGTATTACTATTACTGTTACTAAATAGTATTATTATTGTATCTCTATTGCCTGTCCTCTCATCAATCTATAAATCAGAATTAAGGTCAAAGTGTATACTTTCAACCATTGCTATTTGCACAACCATGTAAAAGAAAACCTTACAGAAGCAAACACAATTATCATAATTGTGAGTGACAAGAGCACTAGCAAGTACCTGCATTTGTGTACGAACATTCTCCAATTCAGATTCCTGCCAATGTCAGACACAGTGATCATATGTTAGACCAGCTAATAAAAGACCAGAGCTAAGAAAATGGTATCCATTTCTTTCCGATTCTTAAATTTACTCATCTTTACAAAAAAAAAAAAAAAAAAAAAAAAAAAATTAATCAACATTTCTTCTGCCTATTGTAACTAAAAATAAAAAAATCATCTGCCGGTCGTAAATAAAAAGCCTTAATTCATACCTGCTCTTGCAGCGTTTCTTTTAGCTGAGTAACAAGCACTGCTCTATTTGCTTCAACTGATTTCAGTTTCTCAACACACTCTTTCAAAATAGCCTCATCCTCCTCCAATTGTTTGGCCAAAGTTTTTCGCTGTGGATCCTTCGCTGAAATGTAGATTATCACGCTAAGCTTTCCTCATAACAAGAAATGCATCATATTCCACTAATAAAACAAATTTGTTCTATATTAAACACCAATCGGCATTTATTTTCATAATGGATACAGCAAATTAATTACAATCCCAGCAAATCTACACTTTACCTTGAGCACAAGCTTTTTCAACATCATGATCTATTTTCCTCACACGGTTAACTGCAGACTTGCACCTACTCATCTCTGATTCTTCTGTGAGATGTTCATTTAGAACTGAATGGAAAGCTGTCACAATTTTCTCTGCGGGGCCCCCAATAGATAATTTCTGTATCAATAATTGTGAGTTGCATGATGATTAAAACTTGTGTTAATAACAAGAGAATAAAACAAAGTATGGACAATCATCAGGGTCAACAATGGCCTCAGCACATAACAATAAATAATAAAAAAAAAAAAAAAGGGTTATCACAAACATGAAACCAACAGGATAGTAGGATCTCACCGTCCTTATGGAGCGTGAATCCCTTCGTACAATCTTGACTGTCCGTGATCGCTTCTTACTGAACTCAAGAGG